TTAAGATACTTGTGTTTAAATCGATATTAACTTAAGTCTAAATGGAATAACCAATGCTTCCATCTCTCTTTAAGAACATTCAATTACGAATGAAATGGCGGGCATTATTTTTACATATGTATGTAAATACATTTTTAATTGTAGCTGTTTGTGATTATAGTTAATCTTTCCTTTGAATATACATTCCAAGCTTTACCCTTTAGCAACGACGACTAGTTTTGACATGGATTTACACATTTCCAAAGTTTGTAGTTTTTGTGACGAGCGATTTTCAGTTACTGCAACAAACTACACATCCCATACGTTTGCTTTATGTTTCAGACAGACAGATACAACACAGAACTTCGTACATAAGTACATCAGTTCAGGTTGCCATACTACGTCAACACAGAGACGTAACTGTCAGTTCAAATCCAAGAGTGATAGTAGAAGTATTAGCAGTAATGGAGAAGATTAGGGAGCAAAGATATAATTCGAAAAGTATAATTCAGTGAGATGAATTTAGAAGGAGAAAGATAGAGATGATGAGGAATTCAGGAGGTTAGAATTAAAAAGCACACAAAGAGTGGATGCACCTGCCCCGCTGCAAACGATTCTGAGCCATGTCGTTCAAGGTCTCTAACCATCGGTGACTTTCGTCTCGTGGACCCTAACCACGTAGCCTACATCTACCAACATGACTCAGTCCACTTGTCAGTCAGTTCATGCATTTCTACCATGTTTTGGTCTGGCCGCCCCTAACATTCTTCCAACATACTCCTACACCACAAACCATAGCTCGTGGAGGCAGTGGGTGGTTAGGCATACGTAATACATATCCCAACCACGTCAACAGATGAAGTTCCACTACCTCATCTATGATTTGCTTTATGTTTCAGGTGCATTACTATTTTTTCCATGACTATTTTGCTTGTTTGTACTAATCCTTGAAACTTTTTTTACCTCCGATATGTGAAGTTCATAAAATTCGATAACTGTTTTCATTGTACCACTATTTACGAAGTTGGAGAACACACTTTCCTTAGGAATTGATCATTGATAATATGAACAGACTTTCAAACACCTTGGCATTTCAATGTTAATAAATTCCGAGCGCCAATTATTTCCCTATTAAATTAAATGTGCCAGATATTAGAAAGATACTTTAAATTATTACTATTATTACAAAAACCTAGAATTTCGTTTATTTGTCTGATGAGAAACTAAAAATGATACTCACATACTATTTATTAATGTTAATCCATGAATAGTATTTAATACAATTGACTAAACTGGTTCTATTCAGCACTTGTTAAGACAGTCTGATGAAATCTCAGAGCGCATACAGAAGGCTCGATCGACTTTTGCCAACTTGCGTCACTTATGGCGTAGGAAAGATATCCGTCTTACATCAAAAGGACGGGTCTACTGCGCAGCAGTTCACTCTGTCCTACTTTATGGCTGTGAAACATGGCCAGTAAGAGTAGAAGATATTCGTAGGTTACTAGTATTCGATCATAGATGTTTAAGAAGCATTGCTTGTATATCGTGGGACAACCGAGTAAGCAATGCTGTCGTTAGGAAACGAGTTCCAGGTAGGGGTGGCAGATCATTAGATGAAGCATTGAAACCTCATCAGTTGAGGTGGTTGGGACATGTGTTACGTATGGCCAACAGCCGACTGCCTCGACGCGCTATGTTTTGTGGTGTAGGAGTGGGTTGGAAGAAACATAGGAGCGGCCAAACCAAAACATGGCAGAAATGCATGAAGTGACTTACAAGTGGACTGAGTGATGTTGGTAGATGTAGGCTACGTGGTTGAGGTCCGTGAGACGAAAGTAACCGATGGTTGGAGACCCTGAATGACACGGCTCAAAACCGCTTGCAATGACACAGGTTCACCCATTGTTTGTGTTCCCTTAAATCTTAATCCTCTAGATTCTTCATCACTTTTATCTTTCTCTTCTTAAGTATATTTCACTAGATTATACTTCTTGAATAATGTCCTCGAATCCTAATCTCTACGATTACTTCTAATGCTTCTACTACCTCTACTACTATGGAGTTTGAATTGACAATTACATCTCTGTGCTAATGTGGAAAGAAAACTTGAACTGATTTATGTACGTCCGAAGTTTCACGTTGTTGCTGGCTGACTGACAAACTTGATCCGTGGTAGTGAAATGAAAATGTGACTGGTCATCTAGTGTGGACAAACTCACCGATGATTAGAGACTTTGAACGACATGGCTAAAAATCATTTGCAATGGTGCAGGTGCATCCATTTTTCTTCTTCCCTCAAATTGTGATCATCTGAATTTCTCATAACCTCTTTTCACTTTCTGAGTTTATTTCACTTGATGATACATACTTCTTTAATTATATCTTTCAACCCTAATCTTTGCCATTATCGGTAATACTGCTACAACCTCTACTACTATTGAATCTGGATTTAGAATTCTATCTATCTGTGCTAAGGTGTACATACGTACGAAGTTCTACGTCAAAAATGACTGACTTGTTAAGGCTAATATAGTTATTACAAGGTCCGTTGTGACAATTTCATAATTTCATCCCACTTATAGATAATAGACTTGCATTATAGTCATATATTTCAACACTCACAATCTTAATACATTATCTTCTTCACCTAAACTTACTTACCGTGTAAAACCATGTTCACAATAAATTCGACTTCTTAATTTAAAAACAGAGGTAGAAAAAATGGAAACGTAACTTTTAGAAGTGATGCTAATTAACAGAACTCGATATAAATTTTTCAACTCTCAACATTAAATAATTTAGGCGGTTGGTTATCTCTCAGCGCTAATTAAAATTGGTTTATATCAAAAAGTAATAAATCCTATTAAGATATAATTCGAAAAGTATAATTCAGTGAGATGAATTTAGAAGGAGAAAGATAGAGATGATGAGGAATTCAGGAGGTTAGAATTAAAAAGCATACAAACAGTGGATGCACCTGAGCCATTGCAAACGATTCTGAGCCATGTCGTTCAAGGTCTCTAAGCATCGATTGTTATCATCTCGCGGACCCCAACCAGATAGCCTACATCTACCAACATGATTCAGTCCACTTGTCAGTGACTTCATGCATTTCTGCCATGTTTTGGTCTGGCCGCCCTCAACTTTCTTCCAACATACTTCTTCACCACAAAACATAGCTCGTCGAGGCAGTCGGTGGTTAGGCATACGTAACACATGTCCCAACCACCTCAACTGATGAACTTTCAATGCTTCATCGATTGATTTGCTTTAGGTTTCAGGTGCATCAGTATTTTTTCCATGACTGTTTCGCTAGCATGCACTACTTGTTGAAACTTTGTTTACCTCCGAAATATGAAGTTCCTAGAATACGATAACTGTTTTCATAGTACCAGTATTTATGAAGTTGGAGGACACACATTCCTTAGGAATGGACCATTGATAATATGAACAGACTTTCAAACACCTTGGCATTTCAATGTTAATAAATTCCGAGCGCTAATTATTTCCCTATTAAATTAAATGTGCCACATATTAGAAAGGTACTTTAAATTATTACTATTATTACAAAAACCTAGAATTTCGTTTATTTTTCTAATGAGAAACTAAAAATGATATTCACATACTATTTATTAATGTTAATCCATGAATAGTATTTAATACAATCGACTAAACTGGTTCTATTCAGCACTTGTTAAGACAGTTTGATGAAATCTAAGAGCGCATACAGAAGGCTCGATTGGCTTTTGCCAACTTGAGTCACTTACGGAGTAGGTGAGATATCTGTCTACCGATCAAAGGACGGGTTTACTGAGCAGCAGTTCACTCTGTCCTATTTTATGGCTGTGAAACATGGCCTGTAACAGGATATTCGTAGGTTACTGGTTTTAGGCCATACGTGTCTTCAAAGCGTTACTTGTATATCCTGGGACAACCGAGTAAGCAATGCTGTCGTTAGGAAACGGGTACTAGGTAAGGATAGCGGATCGATAGATGAAATAGTGAAACTTCATCAGTTGAGGTGGTTGAGACATGTGTTAAGAATGCCTAACCACCGACTGCCTCGACTAGCTATGTTTTGTGGTGTAGGAGTTGATTGGAAGGAAGCTAGGGGTGGCCAAACCAAAACATGGCGCAAATGCATGAAGTCACTGACAAGTGGACTGAGTCATGTTGGTAGGTGTAGGCTACCTGGCTGGGGTCTGCGGGACGATAGTTACAGATGGTTAGAGACTTTGAACGACATGGCTCAGAATCGTTTGCAATGGTGCAGGTGCATCGATTTCTTGTCTTCCCTCAAATTGTAATCGTCTAAATTTGTGATCACATCTATCTTTTTACTTCTAATTTTATATTTCTTGAATAATATCTTTTAAACTTAATCTTCTCCATTACCGCTAATACTGCTACAACCTCTACCACTATTGAATCTAGATTGAGAATTCTATCTATGTGTGTTAATGTGATACACCAACTTGAGCTGATGTACGTACGTACGTACGAAGTTCTACGTTACAACTGACTGACTTGTTAAGGCCAATATAGTTATTACAAACTCCAGTGTGACAGTTTCATAATTTCATCCCACTTATAGCTAATATATGGTTATATATTTGAACACTCACAATCTTAATACATTATCTACTTCACCTAACATTACTTACCGTGTAAAACCATGTTCACAATAAATCCGACTTCTTAACTTATAACAGAAGTAGAAAAAAAATGGAAACGAAACTTTAAGAGGTGGTGCTAATTAACAGAACTCGATATAAATTTTTCAACCCTCAAAATTAAATAATTTAGGCGGTTGGTTACCTCTCAGTATTAATTAAAATTGATTTATATCAAAAAGTAATAAATCCTATTGAAATAATCTACAATTGATAAAAAAGACACAGACCCTTCAATCGCGTCAACGGAAAGTAAAAATAAACGAAACGAGATTTCCAAAAAAGAACAACACTATGGAATTCTAAAAAGTGTTTCTCAAACCACTTAACGATCTTATTATTGGGGCAAGTGATGATAAAATGTAAACCCCACAAAACTGATATACATATACATATATATATTTATATTTATATAATTTTCAGTTAGTATCAGATATACAATCATTTTCTGTGTCAGTATTGTCAGAAGATGAAGGAAGCATATCTTCTGGGATGTAACTATTATTTTTCATTGAGGATTCTTTTGAAATATTTACAGAAAAGGTTTCCGGCCTACAAAAAAAAATAACGATAAAATAAATGTTAAGTATAAATTAATTGAAAAAGGTGGTGAAACTTATTTGATAGTTTGAATATAATGAAAAGATATTTAAACGTTAGGCAATCAATCAGAAAGCAACTGAAAAGCTGTAATCAGTTTATCAATCATAACACTGATTGTATTTTTTTCAACAGAACAATTAGCAATTGAAAACATGTTCAGACTATTACGATTCAATTGAAACGATGATTATTTTGGATACTACTACTACTAATACTACTAGATTTTATCTGACAAATTGAATTAAAAAGTACAAGAATGGCATAAAGGTAATACAGAAATTAGTAAGCAAAGTTATATTTGTTGTAAGCGCAACTATACACTGGGTTTGAAGTTATTGGAGTGAGGGTTGGAATCATTTTTAATCATTTAAATTTGGTGGATATAAGTAGTATGGTAAGAACTCATTCAAAACATTTGGTCTATCGAATAAAATGTGATAATAAGGGTTACGTTTCGTTTTAGCTAATGATTCTGTTACTTTCCCATATAATTCATTTGCAGATACATCAGAATTTAACTACATATGAACTTTCAAGCAAAGAAGTATTAAAAGATTGGGTATATGTGCCATAAAGTATCTAAATTATAACAGTATCATTTATCAGACTCAGTGTTCGGTTTGATGCATATCCTATTGGTGATTATCAAGAAATGTATATCGCCTAATTAACAATTACGTGGAGAAAGAAGCAGCCATGAAGGATAGAAGAAAAGTGCTTGAGGACAGGTGTTCATGAAGATTAGTCTTCTAAATGCTTAGGTTGATTTGTAGTTTTATAATAAATTATTATATAATTATATAAACTTGAAGTTGGTCGATAGTGATCATGGAGAAAATTAGTTAGTTTTCATCGTGTTCTAAAGTAGCAGTAGAGAAAAAGTATGATAACGATGAATCATTCAAGTGGCCTAACTTGTTGCTTTTTGCAATTTGTGCTACTTAAATGATAATGTGCAAAAATGAATCGCCTCAAAAACACAATGTCTTAATATCTTTTGTCTTACGATTCGTACTACTTATAAATTATAAGTAGTTACAGACCTACTGCATTACTTTTGAAGTGATGAATCGAACGGTATTTACAAGTTTGACATGAGTCTGTTTGCTGTAGAATGATAATCTTGGATATCTTTGAATTATTTGGAAGTCAAGGATACAGAATACGAACAGGAGTAAAATGTAGATAAACGGCTGCCCTCCTGGCAATACACTAGAAAGTCATTTAGAAAAACTAACTTATTTTCAAGGATATCATACACACCTCGAAAAGATTAAAACAGTTCATGTATTCGTCATTTCAAACTCAAGAAGAATTTCTCATAGAACCCTCAATTTACAAAATGATTATTTTTATTTAAGAGTCTACTTCTAGCAAATAATAGTTGAGGGGAATACAAAGTGAAGACAGATCAAACTCCTATTTTTTTCATATACATACATATTGAAAAATAGAGGGACAATATTTGAATAACAAAACATTTTGTCAGTTTGCGATGACATAAATTTATAATTGGTTAAATCATTGCCAATGAATTTTTTCGTACCGTAATAATTGAAGTTAGTATCGAAAGAACATAGAAAAAACATACGAAATATGAAGAGGGAACAACATATTAAACCTGATAGTCAAAAATGACTGGTATTTACAAGCTAGACTTGAACTCATTTGCTAGTTCATTGTCACTTACAATACAAAGATTGCTTTGGCGCTAAGATGAAAGATATTATACGGGTGTATCCTGGGACAATTGTATAAGCGATGCAGTCGTTAGGAAACGAGTACTATGTAAGGATGGTAGATCAATAGATGAAGTAGTGAAACATCATTAGTTGAGGTGGTTGGGACATGTGTTACGTATGGCTAAACACCGACTGCCTTGACGAGCTATGTTTTGTGGTTTAGGAGTAGGTTGGAAGAAAGCTAGGGGCGGCCAGACCAAAAACATGACAGAAATCCATGAAGTCATTGACAAGTGGACTGAGTCATGTTGGTAGATGTAGGCTATCTGGTTGGGGTCCGCGAGACGAAAGTCATCAATGGTTAGAGACCTTGAACGACATGGCTCAGAATCGTTTGCAATGGCGCAGGTGCATCCACTCTTTGTGTTCTCTGTAATTCTAACCTTCCGAATTCCTCATAATCTCTACCTTTCTCCTTCTAAATTTATCTCACTGAATTATACTTCTCGAATCATATTTTCGCTCCCTAATCTTCTCCATTATCGCTAATACTTCTACTATCACTATCACTCTTGGATTTGAGCTGACAATTGCGTCTCTGTGCTGACGTGGTATGGCAACCTGAACTGATGTACTTATGTACGAAGTTCTGCGTTGTATCTGTCTGTCTGAAACATCTTAACCTATGTGATCAGCAGTGTGAATTTAACAAATCCCACAAAATATTTCCGAATGAAAAATCACTATCATGGTTAGTAGTAGTTGAAACAACAGAAAACACTAGCATTTTGTTATTATTGCTTTCCAAAAGAACATAAGCTAAGATTACTTGTAGCATCTAAATATCGACCACCTATTAATGAACAACATAGTATTTCATAACACTATCGATAATAGTAAACTAAATCATACACTTACCATCGACCTTCATCAATCAATGTTTTAATATTGTCCTTCTGTAATACAGCCCGAATTTCTCCTTTCACCTTTTTATTATCCAATGGTGAACAGATAACAAATTCACCTTGAGCAAAATAGAATGTATTGCGAAACCTTTCGGGGATCGATACGAAAACTTCTTCGTCTTGTTCTGTTATTCCAGTGAATAAATAATTACCACATGATTTTACTAACTGAAAATCAAATGATTTATTCCTAAAGTAGTTTGTACCTTACAAATGAATTCATTTGATTCTATAGTATGAGTAGTTTTAAAAAGTTCTTTCTCTGCTTTTTTACGTTTGGGTACAGAAGAAGAAAGTATCATTTTTGTTCTTTGGAATTTTTACAGTACAATAGACTATTGTCTTGTAGATAATGGCAAAGTAAACCTTGAAACCCTAAAACATAGAGTAAAAGTTTAGTTTTACTATTAGAATTAAACATATGATGAAGCTGAATAAATTGCGTTAAGGATGTATTTTGTGTAAACTAGAAAGTTTGTTAATATAAATGATGAAGTGTTTTACATCACAAATCAAATATTTGGTTTGCAGAAATAGAACTCTCTAACGAAGGAAATAAGACTCTTGTAAAAATCTTAAACATCCGATCAATGTGGTCAAATGAAATAATACGAACAGATAGATAGTATAAAACTACTGCATCATACAAGTGATATAAGGTAAGTAAGCGAACCAGTACTAATTTAAGAAGAAACAAGATATGGAACAGAGATACTGAGTTAATACTGTACGCCTCAAGAGTGGTGTCGTAAGCGATTAGACTAGGCTTTTGTGAAGACGTGATGTCTCAGTCAGTCAGATGCAACGTAAGAACTTCGTACGTATGTACATAAGTTCATGTTGCCATACCACATTAGCACAGAGACGCAAATGTAAAATTAAATCCCATAGTGATAAAGATAGAAGAGGTATTAATGGTAATGAAGAAGACTAGGCTTTGAAGATATTATTCAAGAAGTTAAATTCAGTGAGATAAGGTTAAAAAGACAAAGGTAGAGGTGCTGACGATTCCAGAAGATTATGATTTGAGAGAGCACAACGAATGGATGCACTTGCGCCATTGCAAACGATTTTGAGCCATGTCTTTCAAGGTCTCTAACCATTGGTGACTTTCATCTCGCGGACCCCAACCAGGTAGTCTACATATACCAACATGACTCAGTCCACTTGTCAATGACTTCATGGATTTGTGCCATGTTTTGGTCTGGCCGCCCTTCGCTTTCTTCCAACCTACTTGAAATGGTTAGCAATATGTTCTTTTTTTTATAGAGAAAGTATAGGTACATGGAACGTTTAAAGTTATAATTGGGCATGATGATACTTTATAATCTTCCTTTATTACAAATATGTATAATGAGTCACTTATGCTGTGTCCTGTTTATCACAAAATTCTACCTTACTCATACCATTCACTCAACTACTGTAAGGGAATGTATGTAGAATAGCAAAATTCTATATAAATCAGATTAAGAAACAACCAAGGAAATGTGCAGAAGAAGACTAAACACAAAAAACATTTTTTCAGTGTTCATTGATTTTATTCTATCTAGTTGATAAATCTTGTAGAAACCATCTAACTGGACTGCAATCACTTAACATAAAACTATTTATATATCTGCTTTTTATGAAAATGAAATTTCACTCTTTTTATCAACAAAAGCCAGAATCTTATATGCAACGTTTTGTTGTGGGGAAGAATGGAAAAGCTAATAACACATTGGAACATTTATAAAAGACAAACATATCACCACAGAGATGAATATGTCTTTCATACAAAAACGTTCGTCAGATAAATGTAACTAAATTTTAAATATTTATTTTTTTTGTCAATAAATAAAGCATCACCCAAGTAGAAATTCTGTGCTGCAAAATGATAGTTCGCTGTTTTCATCTTATTACCACTTTACAACTTACCCGATTAAACAGTCGATTCTCGACTGTACTGGGGAATTCGAGGGGTTTTTGTGACTGGGAAATAACGTGCAAATACATCAATAGTTTATTAACGATAAACTCTGATGTCTCAAACCTGTACAGTTTACGAATGTTTTATTGTAATTCTCGAAAAGCAAATAAGTCTCCGTAATATGGATCCTGATTTTGGAAAACTTCGAAAACAAGTTATTATGGCGAATATACAGAAGAGATGAAAATGATTAACCTAATTCTTAAGACGTATCAATCGTTTCATACGATGGTCTAAAGCAATACTCACCACAAACATCACTGACGAAACCACTGAACTTTCTTTCGCCAAACGGTAGACCTCAATCTTTGCTTGCCTACAAACTATTACACCAAACTATGAACGCCATTTCGGAACCGGATTATTCTACACTTTGGTTGAACTAATGGGCGTGACGCGCTTCCGGACGATTTATTACCCCAAACCATAAGATGTATTATGGCGATTTCGTCTGCTATCAAATGCTACTATCCCAAATGAGGATACATCGCACTGAGATGTGCACCGAATAGTTAATAGTTTCACAGTACATAATTCCGAAACTTTCCCATGTGACTGAGTTTTAATGTGCTTTTTTCTCATTTTTTGATCTCAGAACCATTGTTTAAACCTCATAAGAGAGAAAGTATAGAAGTTTTACCTGTTTGTCCCAATTTCTGACAGTAAATCGTTTTTTTAGTTTTTGTTGTCTCCGAGTTAGCTACAATAGTTGACAACTCAAGGTCGTCCTGACGTAACCTTCAGGTTTACAAACCTTTATATGTGAGAATCTTTTTGTAATTGTGTTCGTGTAAATAAGCATTTGAAAAACGCTGCTAGAAGGTTCGAGCGATCAGTCAATGCTTCAACACCCAGTAACATTTTCAACTTAGATGAGTAAGTTGAATTTGAAACTGTCATAAATACTGGAGACTTTCATATATAAGCGTTGACATCACAAAACTGTCAACTGAGGTTACTGAGTCTTCTTGCAATATGAAACGGACGATGTTATTGATAAAACAACCACATTACATCATCCATCTAAATAGAAAATTAGGAGTAGATGAACAAGACCATAACTCTTTTCACAGACTGAAGAGGAACTGAAGGTCGAAAATATGCATCTGCAGTGACAGACAAGAGAGAGGTGAGACTACTGGATTTAAAGTTGGTTTATTATATAGACGGTTGATAGTTAACCAGCTGAGAACATCCATCGGGTCTCTTTTATCATACCTGGAGAAACTAAAGTCGGAAGTCGAATTCACCTTGATGGAGACTGGAGCAGAAGGTAGTCCTATGGAGTTTAGATTCCACAACAATAAAAGAAATGAGGCTAAATAACAGTTTCTCTTATGCAAGAGCATCTCAGTTTTTACAGACCAGTATCCGAGAAAAAGATCGCTCAAAAGTGTACAGTGTCGTTACTCAAGGGTTCTGTTACGATATAAGATACAAATTGAACAAACGTTATTATCGAAAGGAAATTATTATTATCATTCTGAATCTTTCCTTGACGCTTTTATGTGATCATCTGGTCTTTGCGATGATTTTGTGGCTATTACCATTATTGTTAGTGTTCTGTCAAACACATGTTTATTAACACACATGAAACATTGAAGTTGCACCTAGTTCAATAGAACTATACAAACTCAGTGGACGTTGAAATATACGAGTAATTTGTTGGAGCTAAGAAACTTTCTTGAAATAGGTGCTTAAACATTACATTAACTCTTTACCGATTAAGATTGAGCATAATGTTGATGTTTTACTATTTTTGAATGTAATTACTTTGACATTACTTTGAAAATTGTTTTCCAACGAACTGCCATATTGATTTCGGTTGATCTGGGAAATAAAAGGCGAAAATTTCAAGTAAAATGTACACCCATTCATTAATTCTAGTAGAAATCTGACAATTTAAGGTGTGCGCTCAAGAAAGTTGACAGATTTAAGGATTGTTTTGGTGGAAAAGTAGACAATTTGGTGATAGGTTATGGAAAGTAGACATTCAAAAAGTTAATTTGGAAAAATTTATATTCAATGAGAGAATTATAGGGAGAAGTCGCATTATTTACATTGTTATGCCAAAAAATGAGACCACTTGGTGGATCAATTTCTGAAACCTAAATGCGATCTTATTCCCCCTTTTTGCTTGAACAAGTAGCCATAAAGTACAGTTCAGTATGATGAAAAATTTGGATTGTAATCATGATTTAACCTTGTGATAAATAACTTTCTTACGATACGACCAATAATAAAACACTTACCTATACTCATTAAGAAACATGTGCTACCCAAGGTCATTTGTCGGCCGCCAGCTACTCAATCCTCAATTATGTTTGAAAAATGCTTCAATAGATGTAGATGGAGAAGATTTAGCATAACGGGGTAGTAATGGTAGTAATGGATCCCTGTTTGCTTCAGGTAATATCCTGGGTACATAAATATACTTGGGACAGTTACGTTCTGAGCGGAAAAGCCTTCAACATATGATGCTTCGATGACTCTAGATAAACATTAGATAGCATGAAACGTGCATCATTAAGGTTCTATTTTTCGTCGTCTAGTATCCTTATTATAAGCTAACATAAATCTACTTATTTTTTGCGCTTGCTTCTTTTTGTTTCTCAATGGTCTCAGGTATTTCTTAACGTTCAATCAATGAGGCAGTCCAGCAACTCAAATGAACCGATCCTGACCATGACTGATAGTTATACAAGAATTTATATGTTTTAATTCAAATGGGCACGTTTATCTCAAGGCAGTAGATGATGAAGTATATTACTCTGAAAAAGGTAAGGAACATTTCTTATATTAATATATCAGGCACCAATAGAAAATGAATAGATGAGTTCTTCTTGGCTGAATTCCTTATGTTTTTTTGAGCTACTCTCCATACTCTCGACAGTCACTGGGTGAAGAGTGTGTTATGAAATTTCAATCGAGAACGGACTTCCATGGAGGATGCAAGTTGCTTGTTTCACATGGAGATTTGTCCAAGGAATAACCTTTCGACTGTTTTGGTCGTAACTTTTCTACGTTTGTTCGAATGGGAACTGAAGATTACCTACTTAGTAGTATGTTAAACTCGTCTGGGCAGCTCCTTCTGATGGGTAATTAAAATTCTTGACCTCTTGTAAGCAGTAAATTGTAGATTGTCATTTCAGTTTATGAAGTTATAAGTCAAAACTGTGTATGAACATGGGTTAAATGTGTGCTCGTTATAATAAGCGCGGATGTTTAGAGTATTGAAAGTCACTTATAATTTAATTTTAGCTTCATGCAAACTAAATTGTAAGAATTAGTTTGGTTTAAGCTTTACTTATAAGGTTTCACTTTACATTTATTGATTGATTATTATGTTCACCTTACTCCAAATTAATTTTATCCTACTTCAATGAAGTGGCGAACCTAAAGAAGCCCTAGTGAAAGTCTTAAACCTGTGAAAGCAGGCTATTGATCTGAAAGTTAATAGCCAATTATTTAACATGACCCGCAATTCTCGTATTGACCTTTAGCAGTCATCTGTCTTGAAGTGATTTAAACTAGACATACAGTTGCACCAGAAATTTTTACTGGCCATATCATTAACGATGAAAACATCCCTTCTGTCATGATAAGCTTATCGATGGCATGATCAATCATTTAAATCTGAGGTTGAAATGTTTGTGTGATTGTTTACTATACTCTGACACAAACACGGACGTCTGGCAGAATGAATGCGTCAATAAATCACAGAGTTTTATCACACTTGCTTAAAATCAATTATGAAGTGTTGAAGTATCAGGCTGGTAATGTCTGGTTATACTCCAGGTGTGGCAGTTGTAATGACCGCTAGATCATCTTAACTTTCTGGCGTTTAGAAGGTCGATACATTCTTCCAACAAAGTTTTCGCTCTCATTCATTTTGAAGCAGCACCAGCATGATAATGTCAAGTTGGTTAGCTGAGTATCACTTAGTGGTACGGTTATGGAACGGGTATTAATAAATATAAACGCTGCATGTGTTTCTTGTACCCTATAGAATCGAAAGTGTCTTGCTTTACAACATAAATTTCATAAGTTAGAGTTGTAATAGTTTGCTTACAAGCTCACTTGTTTTTGAAAGCTCCACTAAGCTTTATGCGACCCTGAAGTATCAGTGTTACTTAAACTTTCGATCCTCCTAAGGTGAAGAATGAAACCGAGAGGAGGTAACCTGTTTCTTATTGTAACGTCTTTAGAAAATCTGATAATGTGTTTGTTGCTGTCGTTTGAAAGTAAACAGGTATTTACTATTGCTACCAAAGAGAATATGCATGTAGTTTAGGTGAATAGTAAAAACTAATGACATGCATAATATTTCTTCTTAAACAACAGTGTGGTAGGCGCGGCCTGCTAGTTTATAGGCAAAGTCAAATTGTTACTGACGCAACAATAATTACTTTATAGGTGTTACACAAGATCAGTTTGCCTTAAAAGCCTAACATACCTTCATGTGTCAGAGAAAGAACCGTCTTACTGAGATTTTCGATCCTACTAAGAAGAAGAATAAAGTTACATAATGGTAGCTTGTTTGATATTGCAATACATGGATATTGGCTACTGGTGTGACTGTTGCTGTTGTTCAGAAGAAAACAGCTACTTGCTATTCGTCACATAAGACAAAATGAATTTAGCTCTATGCAAATTCAAATGCAAGATTATTCTATTTCCAATATCTCTTTCACGAGCTAGTATGAGCCAAGTGATTTCTTTGCTCTCAATTCTCGTTCTTTCGGTACGGTCCCAGGTGTTTGGTAGAGGTGAAGATTTATTTTTGTGCCAACCAATGCACTCAACAGTGGTTTAAAACTTGTCGAAAGAATATCAAAATATCCAATATCATACATATAACTTAGAATATCCGCCAGACATATGGATATGGTTTTATAAATTGACTGCAGCTAACACAAATTTTTAGTCATTTCTAGTTATAGACATATTTTGCTATATAAATAGAACACTTGCTTTAACTATGAAAATTAAATGAATAAATGAATTGTCAATTTTGTTTACAATAGGTAGATATCAATAATGGCTATCAAGTTATTAGGGTTCTGTGAGATAGCTTACAATACCAGGTTCTGTGAAGGAGTAATAGCATGCACTGAAATGAGCGAAAACTCTTAGTTCTCTACGCAAAAAACCATCTGCGTTATTGATGTGGTCAGCGATTTCTCGCATTAGGCGAAACCACCAAACCACGTTATTCTCAATTTTTTGATTGTATCTTAGTCACAACATCTCAAGTCCACATTAATAGGTTGAATCCCTTATCTTAGTAGCACATAAAAACGCACGAATGCTGACTTTGAACTTCATCCCAAAAGTATAAGGCGCGACTAAAGAAGTTCACGTCGATGCAAATTTATGCAGGAGCTCGAAACATTTATGTGAGTCTAAGAGAAGTGGGGAGAATCAGATGCCATCACAGATTTCTTCGTTGGATTGTCCAGAACGTACTCACAGCCTTAGATCAAACTTCACAATGTTGCTACTGCTCGCGAACTTTTGAGGTAAATTCCGGAAACAGACAGTGAAGTGGATGATCGAGGAAAGGAAACAAGTCTTACGAACAAAAATCTAACAATTAAAATTGCTCTCTTTCTACCAAATATAGAGAATAAGAGGTGGTTCTTTGAAAATACACAACATAACTATAACAAGTCACCTTTACAAAACGATCCTGCTACGACATCACATTCTCACCAAGCAAATTTCTGCTGGACCATCTGATAGTCTCTGGACACAGAAGCTAAACAATCCTGAAACAGACACACCACAATAGACTGAAACTGACAAATAACTACAAAATTCGCTGGAACTGATGCAACCCAGTGGCAATACTACTGCTTATTGGATATAACCAAAGAATAGGAACAGCACGGAAATAACAATGTGTGAGCGCTAAGAAATCCATCGGTGTGTACTTGTTTCGATCTTCAGCGATAAATGTAGGAGAATGACAGGCCCATATTGATCTTTGTGATTTCTAGTGCTGTAAACCTCCAGTCTCATTTTGAACGACTCTACAAAGGATAAGTGTTCAACGATTTGATCTCGGTTGTTGAACTTTCTCACAATGTCCTCTTGGATAATCAGCCTGAATGGAGAGACAAAATTAGATATATTGATAACAAAAATCATCTCTGAGTATACGATAAGCCAGAACCGAACTTAAGTTCTCATTTGTAAGGTTATTGCAACACTAGAAGTTCGTAGTATTGGACGAAATCTATTCGCTTGATTGCGCAGATTAGAGCACTAATATCAACGGAAACTTTGTTCCTAGAGAGAACACAATTGCTGAAATGGAGACAGTTATTGTTGTAAAAAGTTATAACCGTAACTGCTCTGTTGTAACCCTTTTTATTTAACTGTACTAGAGTCCATAACTATCGCGCCAAGCGAGTTACTCGCAATCCTCGATCCTTCTCATCCATTCATAGTTTTCCTTATGATTTCCGGATTTAACGGGATGTTACTTGGTAATCTAGCGACTAGTATTTTTGATCTCACTAGATTTCGTGAGCGACAACAACGAACACGCATCAACTACGGTGAGTATGTGATTTCTCTATCCACTTTTTGTACTCTTTTAAATGTTGAGTAATATATATCGATATTTTCTTACTTATGCATATCATATCTGCAACAGCGTTTTATAATGGTGGATAGACCTAAAAATGACAATAACACAACAGACTCCCAATTACAGGTCCTTAATTTTCGACCCGTTACATTTATCCCCCACGATTCAGAAGTCTGCTCCGCGGCACTGGAATCTCAATTCGAGATACACCGCATCACGATTCAGCGGCAAATGTACACCAATGCTCTGTAGTCTCTACCTGAGACCATTTAGATGCTGTTCCAGAGGTTATCCTCAATTGTAACTTGCCGGATATTTAAGATCGTCTCAAACAGGCGATTTTGAAACACCTCCAATCGAGGGAGGAACGATTGAGGAAACTGTTAGCACGTCACCCCCTGGATGATATTAAACCGGTCCACCACCTGAAGCACCTGCAATCTTTGGCAGGACCTAGGACATCCGACTGTGACATAGTCAGGGAAGTGTGGCTCGGGTCACTGCCAGCACATTTTTAGCTTACGATCACTGCTCTGCTCGAGGACACGCCACGAAGTACACTGTACCGTCCTCACTCAAGGAACTGAAGGCTTTTCTCGGTTTAATCAACTTCTACCGACGTTTTATTCCTCACGCGGCAGAATATTTACGACCATTACCGACTTATTTCGCGGTAATCCACGTAAGTTATAACTGAATGATGCAGCGTGTTCTGCATTTTCCGAGATTAAAAAAGCTTTAACTCAAACCACGCTCCTCGCCCATCATGACCCGAAGGCCACGCTTGGAATAGCGGTCGATGCATCAGATTTTGCTATAGGAGCTGGTGTGCAACAGAATATCTCTGGGAGTTGGCAACCTCTCGAATTTTTCTCACGATGCCTCACTCCCACGGATACGAGATAGAGCGCTTTTGGTCGTGAACTGCCAGCAACCTACTGTGCCATCAAACATTCTCGGCATGCAGTAGAAGTTCGTAACTTTATTCTCTTCACCGACCATAAGCCTCCAACGTATACTTTGCATACCAAGTCTGACCGCTACTTACCACGAGAGTGCAGAACTTCGTTATACTAAAGGCGAGTTGAACTATGTTGCTGATGCTCTGTAACGTATTCGAGTGAATGCAGTTACTTTACCGGTGCTTGATCTTCCTTCTATGGTCGCTGCTCAAGCAAACGATCCCTCCTGTACAGAAGCACGAAAATCTACATCCCTTCGGTGCCAGGAAGTACCACTAGCTACCACCTCAGTTACTATCCTCTGTGACAACTCTGCCGGTTTACTCCGACCTATTTTCTGCTGATCGTCGTCTCGTCTTCGATGCCCTTCATGGATTGTCTCGTCCAGGTATCGCAGCCGCGTTACATCTCATCGCTGCACGATACGTCCGGCCCTACACGAATGAAGATGCCCGTCTGTAGGTGAAGCAACGTTTACATAGGCACGTAGCCGCCCCTATCGGCACATTTGCTAGGCATGATGCTTGCTTCGACCATGTTCATATTGACATTGTAGGACCATCGCCACCATCGCATGGGTATGATCCCATACTCGCGTGAATCAATCGTTTCACAAGATGGCCTGAACCTATTACCATCGCTTCTATTACAGCGGAAACAGTAGAACGTGGATAGCGCATTACGGTTGTCCCTCGACTATCACAACTGGCCAAGGACAACCGTTCGAGTCCAAAGTATTCTCATCGCTGACCCGGCTACTTGGTACGGAGCGCATAAGCAAAAACGCCTACCACCCAGCTTCGAATAGTTTAGTTGAATGGTTTCACTACCAACGTAAAGGTGCTCCTCGAGCACACGATAAAGAGAATTGGTACGAAACGTTACTACTCGTCCTCTTAGGTATCAGAGCGAGCTCAAAGTCAGATATTCAATGTCCTGCTGCTGAATTTGGTATACGGAACGACATTGTGTCTGCCTGAATTTTCCACACCACGGAGCAGTGATAGCCCAAACAAATAGGACTACGTCCAACGATTGTCTGAATACATGGGAACGCTGCCTCGAAAACAGCATCAATAGGACGCTATTCCTCGTGAGTTATATACCTGTTCACATGTTTTCATACGAGTCAATTCGGTACTCAGACCTTACGAAGGACTTTTTCACGTGATTTCTCGTCATGAAACGACCTTCAATATTGATCGACATGAAAGCGTCGAAATCGTCAGCATTGATCGTCTCAAGCCGGCACACATCGATGACAATGGCCTACCTGCTAATCTGAGACCAAATGCTAGACCCATCAAGCCTAATAGCGGGATCGCTACATCAACTTTGGACCCCACGCTGGATACTTCTGAGACCTCATCCTCACGTTCCAGTCAACAGCACGCGTCATCTGCAATATCTAAGATGAGACTACGGTCTCACGTCCAGACCATCATTACACGCCGCCCTTGAATTCGGATGAGATCGCAGGCTCACAAGGTACGCATGAGACTACCGTGTCGCTTCCAGGTCGCCGCGTAGGCCAACCTGTACGTTTTCTCAGCTAACGACCCATGCAACAACGGATACGTGATAAAACACTACCCTCGTACTACATGTATGCCAAAATTTTCTCTTTTTCCTTCATTTTGTATCCTGAGCCCATGTCTACGACCATCAGCCTGTTGGTACCGTCGACTTCAGTCAATCTTAGCGAAAGCTAGCTTGATTACCCACGCTCTTGTCAATGCACTGAGTCGATGTGTTTGGTTTCGAATGTTCTGGTATAGTTATGGCCTGGTATAATTTACATAATCAAAGCTCCGTCATGTACATTTATATTTATGACGAATATTATAACCGTCATTTACCCAATCACTTTGTTTTGGTTTCAACTGGGCAGTAGCGCGTATCCAAACTACCTAGACAGTTATTCTTTAGTACACACCTCAGTTTGTATTCTACAATAACTACTGAACTGATTGTTGAGTATACACTTCAGGTCAGTTTTTTCTTGACATTTGTCCTCTTATAAACTAAATTCACAACTTATGACAGTAAAACTTTTTTCTTGATAGCATATCCGTTTATCCCTAATTCATAACACTGTGACGACAGATATAGAGAGAGCTTATAATATAAAAAGTTTTGCATCTTTTTTTTAAACGTACTTTTGTACCTACGAGCGGACAAAATCTTGAAGATGGAGATTTACTGTTAACTGACTTGTAGGTCGACAACTGAAAACAGAATAAATAGTACAGTTGTGTTTCTTTTTAGTGTAACAACGATTCTATTTTATGCTACCTCAAGGTTAAGTTGACTGTAAAATATATTAGCTTTGACTTTATCAACAGAGTGCTCGCTGATTTGAATATTGATTTATTCAAAATAATCATGATTTATTACTAAAAACATAAGTGAAAACTTTATTATACTAGCCAGGAGAACAGTATGAAGCAGCCTACTAAAACACACACCAAAAGTAATGATATTCCTTTCTATTCAGTTTACATGTCGTTTAGCCTTAAACAAGCAGAAGTATTGCCTCCTGACATTTTCAGTTCGCTTAATGTCATAGACAACCAATTATTACATAAAGGATTTTTATGTAGTTCAACATAGTTAGTCACCCTGAAGACTTAAAATACATTGAAACGTTATTGGATAATGCTAGTCTATTTTCATATTCAGGATGATACGGTAACTAGTTTGCCTTAAATAAAAAAGTGTGGAGGTAACACGACAGAAACTTCCCATAAAGATTCGTAAGTAATCAGCATTAAGCAGATGTATCCTGAGCTTCATAATAACACACTTCACGGTCAAAAGATCCTTCACTAAAACAGCTTTCGCTTCAGTGCCATCAAGAAATTCTATGCTCAGGTGTGCAGAGCTGGGAAGTTACAGCTGCTATCAGACGTCTAAGAGCATTATTCAATGACACTATATGGCTGTGATAACTACTTACGAGACGGGATAGTTGACCGAAATCCCTAAATTAAAAGACGCAGCACTTATAATTTAAATTGGGCTGTTTAAAGTGGTTCGGATTGTTATTATTGGACGAATCAAGGAGGAAAAATTGTTTACACTTAGCAAGCGAACCAACCGTAACATCACTCAGTCTAATTACGACTTGGAACAACTTTATACCCTAGAATTAAGGTCACTTCAAACAAGCTGAATTTATTATTTTAGCAAAATATCATATTCAGCTAAATGCTTCCTTATGGACATCAAAAGACCTGTTAGAGAACACAGAAGAAAAGGCACTGCATTATGTAATAGGTATGCTTCTTTCTAGATGAAAAAAAAAGCTTCTAGTAGGATTAAGATTTATTAGTTTCAGAAATAATATAAATCAAAGCTGTACATTGGTCATAAAGTTAGAGAGTATCTTTTCGCCATTTTGATGAGCCTATAACATCGGTAAAATGTCTATTCTCAAATGATGTATTTAAATAGTCATTTGCTTGCCCTTGTACTTCAGCAGTGAACCAGTCAGGAGTTGTAGGATGTAAATACGGCGCTTCGTTGGACTCATCACGAACTACAACAGTCTGTGCAGCGATAAGTCTTTCTTCCAACATTTCTAATGCTTTTAACGATATGACTAGTGTATCATGATGTACCATAGACCAAACATTTAAACTATGAACTGGCATTAATGTTAAGCCTCGACCAGGATGAGTAGCACGTGGAGCGATAGTATCCAGTTTAAATGCTGATGATTCTGGTGAAATCTCATTCTTTACGTGATTTTCATAAGAACCACATGCCAAACAAATTGCTAGATTATTAGAATCTAAGTCCGTGTTTTCTGTTTTATTATTATTGATGTTTTCGCTTCCAGGACATGGAGCTGCCAACTGACTTGCCGGAGAATGACTTTAAAGCGGTAGAAAAAAAATATGCATGATGAATAGGAAAATATCACTGCTAACTTAACAATGAAAGGGAAATAAAACTAACATCATGTTTATACTAATTATGTAAACCAAAGTCGAATAGCGTCAAATTGCAAATTTTACAGCCTTGAAAGTAGTTAAATATAATAAAAATCCTACATCAATGTACATTACTAGATATACCTTGAAATCTTTAAGTATCAATGTAGTGTAACCATCTACTTAATTGGTTAACATACATGTTCAATTTTAGTTTCCATTAAATTAATTTTTATTATATGCAGTGGGAGAAATTGAAATAAAATAGCACTTTCAAACACTTCGTATTGAACATGAACACCAAATTATTATGCAGTATTCGTAAAACAATGATTTGACAACACTTTATATAGTAAAAAATAGTAACTTGCATACGATAAATAAACAAAAGTCCACAAATCAGAACACGGTTGAACAGGAAATCACCGAAGCGAAGGCGAAATAGGAACAACGTTAGTCGCTTTGTAGTTTCTACATGAGAAGCTTCTGCAAAGTAATCTACGTATTGACTAGCGCTGATCGGATTAAATTTAGACAATCAACGTACAGCTAACAACACGAGAATTTTCTAGAATGTTCCCCAGGCGCTGATTGGATAGGAATTGACCAATCAGCGCGCAGATAACGCAGTCATACATACTACAACTACTACAGTATAGCTTAAAATGTCGGAGATCATACAAGTGAGTATGCATTCATGAAAGCAGTTATATTAATTTATTATTGGAATTCTGAAGAACGAAAATCCCTACAAGATTAAACAATTACTTAGCTCAGAAGTTAACAGACAAATCAAAATATAAAACGGTGCTACAAACGGTTCTTCATATTATTTAACAGTAATTGTTGATAAGCTTCGAAGAACTAAACTATTTAGGTATATAGAATGGTAATATAACACTAAGCTTTACTGAGAACAAACATTAACGCAGTTGGATGCCGATCCAGTGATCCAAAGGTTAGGCATTCGTGCACAATACTGAAGGTCCTGGGTTCGAATCCTGCGAGGTGCAGAAGTCGTGGACGCGTACTGCTGACGAGTCCTAAACCAGGATGAAATGGCCGTCCAGTGCTACCAGGTTTCTAATGGTGGTCTAACAATGATTGAGTGATGATTTCAAATGTGTAAACAATACTTTGATCATCAGAGTATGATAATCAAGCCGCCGAATGGTGATGAATGTAGTGAGTGCAATAAACTAGATATAACTGACTCAACTATAATTCATGAAACGACTGAGTAGATGTTGCCAAGGTTTGGGATAGTGCATTAAGAGGAGATGACAAATCTGTAGGTCAGATGGTGAAGCCTTATTGACTGAAGTGGTATGGATATGTCTTATGTATAACTAGTCCCTGTTTTCCGTAATGTATGCCGGAGTAGGAATAAGTCAGAAGCTAATGGCAGCCAAATAAAGACGTGACATCAGTTGATGATAAGCATGTTAATACAGATTACTTGTTTAAGGTCGCATGATAGTCGTAACCAGTGGTTGGAGACGAATGATGTGAACCACAATCGTTCACAAAGGCGCAGAGGCATTTAATTGTTACGACGCCTGTGAAGGGTACCAATACTGGTGCACAAACAATATCCTAGAATCCATTGCCAACTCGTGAATAAAAATGATCAATGAAACATGTTTAACTGCTAGAGTCTAGACATGACTAAAATTATCATCAAAAAAACCTGACGAGCGTGACGCAAGCGGTTGATAAAACTTCATAAACTAAGAAACGGTGACATTTAATAGGGGTTTTATGGAGGTCGGTTTAATTTGTGGGTGATATTTATCGCAGACTGACCTCATTTCGGGTACAGTTGGATAACCGGAAGCACTGGAAAACTTTCATTCCGGTATAAATGTTTACCAACCCGTAAAGTCGTTAGGTGATTGCTGCGAGACTCGAAAGCCCCGATTTCGATTAATGACAAAATTCTAGGTGCGGACTGTTAAGTAGTTCCAAACTAGGGTGCAGCAGTCGTTCGGTGTTCCCTGATTTTCATTTATACCGCATATAATGTCAATGTGTAACAAATACTACTAACAATGAATACATCAGTTTGGAAATGGAATCGCCTTTTCAGTTCGATTAGTTTGAGATTTAAAAATGCACATTATCATAAAATCAAAAAATATCCCTAAAGTAACTGGTCCAGAATCAATGGACTGTAGTTAAAAAGGGATCTAATAGACAAGTACATTTTCTCTTTTTTTTACTTATCCAATAGGAATGACCAAGTGTAAACTGATGTTATTCGATTGAAAACTTATTAAGAGTTGATATGAATGAGGAAAGTGTTTTTAGAGATGTTTAGTTTGATAGCTTAACTATTCATTAATACATTGAAGTTAGCTGTTTAAAAAAATCACAAAACAAAACTCTAACCTAAAAATATAAAAAACACTAGCGAAAATATGTAGCGTAGAAAAGAGTAAAATAATACATGTAGATTACCGATCAAATAACAATTTTAAAAATTGGAGCACTATTGGCCAAACATTATTATCAATAAGACTATTTTATTACAAAATCAACACAGTTAATGTTAGAATATTCATCCAATATCCTAAGAAAATTATTGGTCAATTCCTATTGGCTAATTCCTACTGGTTAATTTTATGGTCATCCTAGATATCAATGTCACGTACTCCGATATTGTTTCTTATTGGTCGTCTTGACTGTCAGTGTCATTTCAAATGTTGCTTCCTATTGGTCGTTTAAACTGTCAATGTCACAGACTTCGATACTCTTTCCTATTCGACCTAAATGTATAAATACTCATTATCTGTAAAGCTTTTGATTCCGTTCATTCCTGCCTCCCTCTCTACTGTCCTCGACGCAACAAACAATTTCATCTGACAGTGTTGTGTTCAGATATACAGGAGATTTTGGAATAGTATTTGAGTAATATTGGAATATTTGGATTAGGTCAATCGGTAGGATTTCAAATAGCTACATAGCGTCATTATAACAGTTAAAAACATTATTCTATTAAACAGTTGGTTTTTCCTCTCTCATTCATTTCTGATTAAACTGGAAGAAACATCACATGGAATGGTACAGATGATAAATTCATATAGTCAGTTTTTAACACCTTAGAAACAGGTACAATTAATCAAACATATGAGATTATTGCAACATGAATGAAGTAATTAATAAGTAGCTAAAGTTTAATTCAGAGCACAATCAGTCAGGAGAGCGCATTACCAAAATGTCATAATTTAACTGCGCAAAAATTTTAAATTTTCTTACGAGAAGCCAAAAAAATGAGAAGTCGATAAAAGGGCAAACATTTGACTACTTAGAAGATTATTTCAATAAAGCAGATTATCAATCAGTCAATCAGTTACAACGTTGAACTTCGTACATACGTACACAAGTTTAGGTTGCCAAATCACATTGGAACAGAAACACAATTGTCGGTTAGCGGTAATGGAGAGGATTAGGGTTCGAAATAAATTTAGCTTTCTTCCTACATCACAAAACATCGCCCGTCGAGGCAGTCGGTGGTTAGGCATTCGTAACACATGTCCCAAGCACCTTGACTGACTAAGTTTCAGTATTTCATCTACTGATTTGCTATCCCTGCCTAGTACTCGTTTCCTAACAACTGCATTGCTTACTCGGTTGTCCCACAATACACGAGCAATGCTGCGAAGACACTGATGATCGAAAACAAGCACCCCACGAATATCTTCTACTCTGGCTTGCCATGTTTCGTAGCCAAAGAGCAGGATGGAGCGAACTACTGCGCAATACACTCGTCCTTTATTCAGTAAACAGATATCTCGCCTACGCCATAAGTGACGCATGTTGGCAAAAGCCAATCGAGCCTTCTGTATCCGAGCTGAGATTTCGTCAGTCACCAGGCCATCAACACTGATGAGACTCCCGAGATAAGTGAAGCGGTCAACACACTCAACTGCTTCACTCTCTATCACTAGTTCAGATGCCGATGCAACCCAATCTTGAAGCAACATTTCGCATTTCGAAAAATACCATAATATAACAGATTATGGCATTTTTTTTCATAACAATCAATATTGTGAATGGAACAGTAGCTAGGATTCTTTTTTTTTGTAAACAAAAACACCACGATATTTTAATTTAAACCTGTTTGTTAACTAGGATAACAAAAGAAATCATTTGAATTAAAACCTTACACCATCCAATACTTGAAATATATATACGAATTGCCCCCACTTACGCATCAACAAACAAAATCGATGGACCCCAACAACGTAAATCCGCTAATTGACGTATATACAGAGCTGCTTCATTCATTGTTTTCGTCAAACGATAATGACGTGTTTTGTTAAGTGGTGAGAGTGGATCGGTTAAAGCATCCAAATTCAGTGAAGCAGCTTGTGCTTCAATGAAAATATTCTTAGCATCATCTTCCAATGATTTTGATAGCATAAAATCATCTACAATGTGTAAATCATTCTATGAAAAAAAGAAATAAAACAACAGACTCAATTGTACAAGTAATTTAAGAATAGATTTGTCATATTGTGGTGTGTGCTACTTATATGAACGATATAAGTAGTAGTATAAGAAGGGACGTGAAAGAAGAAGAAGTCTCATGGTCACAAGAGGAAAACGGAAAGTAAATGGAGCAAAAGCAAGAAGTAAAGAGGAAGTACCAACAGGAAGGAAAGGAAGAAACAACAGGAATGGAAGAATGATGATGGAGTGTTGAAAGTCACGACTCAAAGATGGTGTGCAAATAGAGTATTCAATGTAATGTTTTGGTTTTTAACTGACTAAGAGCGTAAATCTGCGCAATACAATCTTCCTCGCCTGCCTCAGTCTTCTCAATATCAGCTCTGAGATAGAAAGTAGTCACGTGAGTTAATCTTTACGGAAATATTAACACCTAATTAGAATTCCGTTTCCAATTGACACGGGGGGGGCATGAAGCCCCTCACGGGCTACTGCCAGTCTCAAGCATAGGCATGGGGTTGGCGATTTCGATCCCGTAGAAAATGAACTTGTTGAAAAAAAACGCTAACCAGAAAAAAATAATTTTGATTGACAGAGTTCAATTTGTAAATGAACTGTAATTACTGGAATCACTATAACATGAATGTGATAAGTGTTCATCAGTATGTTAGGATATTCACCAAATATCCTAAGAATACTATTTTTAGAAGTATAATCCTGTTTGTCGATTTCTATTGGTTAAGATTATGATCGTTCTAACTGTCAAAGTCAAATACTTCAATGTTGCCTCTTATTGGTCATCCAGACTGTCAATGTCACAGACTTTGATGCTCTTTCCTATTCGACATTAATGTATAAATACGCACTATCTGAAAGACTCAATACACGAGCACTCGTGTGCTTTTCTTATCAGCTGTTCTACCCGTCTCTTCCATGTTGTAAACTCACGTACCCAAGAACAACCACAACCTGCACTTCCACCAGTGTTGCAGTGTTTGATTTATTACAGCGAGATCTGGAAATAGACAATCTGTTGGGGTCCGGGAGTGAGGATATATTGAATGACGCGGCTTAGGATCATGAACAGCACGTATACCACTTAGCACAGCGTCTTACCACTTTAACATTCCAAACCACTACCCAATTTTCTTTTAGCTTTGTTTTCGCTGTTGCTGTATGTAACTATCTACAAATATCCAACGTAAAAATGCTTCGTTTCATCAATGTCATGTGAATCTTATCTTACAATGAAGGATCCCTGGTGCAGACAGAATGATCGCCCTCGCTAGCTTCAGGGTTGTCATGACGCTTTCATGGTGGTTTCGTTCTTGCCGTGTTGTCTTCTCAGCATGTGACTGTTTTAGTTAAAGCGTGGTCTAGCCTGTTCCCACCTCTGGTTCTTCTTGAAAAACATTCATCAGAACACAACTTCCGATTGACGTGCTCTGGTTCGAGATAGAATCAAATGAATAGCGCGTTACGCACAAACCCCCAAACACAATTCCAAGCTAGCCTCATGAGAACCAAAAGCAAACCAACACAATACAGTGAAAGCACGTGGATCAATTCAATGCTCTGTTTATTTATGACTTCTCTCTCACCAACGCTTGTCTGCTGCTTTGTTGACGAGATGATTCACACGTGCAATACACACCATCGTGGGTGTCAGGTCGGTTCGTGTTAAGCGTTGCACATCACCCTACCGCGCACCGCTGCATGCGACAGTGTTGGTTGTGTTGGTGGCAGTCCGTGTGATTCTCATTAGCTTACCCCTATGTCTTGACCAACAACCCTTCATGCCTGAAAGTTGGCTCCGTGCCCGCGTTTATCGTCCATGGTTTCTCACAGATCCCACTTACCTAAAAGTAAGCAACCAACTTGAATAATAGCTTTACACTTCCACTACCTCACAGGTTAACATACCCCATCTACTTTAATGCTGTACACGTAGACCAATCCAAACACACACCCCCATAGGTCAATACAACCTGCCTTAGATTTCCTGACAAACATGTCTTGTGTCACCAATCTGTACACGTGAATCTATGTCGAAACAATATACACTTATTACTATATTTTGAGTAGTTATAATCGAAAACCAGCTGCATTAATTGACTGAATACTACACCTTGCAATCTACTGTTCTAAACACTCTATTACAACACATTCGTGGTGATTGGTCATAAAATATCGTTAAATACACTCTAACACAAACACATAAAACTAAAGATTGGCCTGTCTTATGGTGCTCGTCTCGTTATATCTAAACCTGCTATTGTGTTCTGCATTTCAGTCCCTAGAGGGTGTCTAAGTCAAGTAATTCCCCAATAACACAGACCCAAAATGCTATTCAAAAATCTCCTAAAAACAGAACGCCAACAAGTGCGGATGAAAGTTGTGTATTGGATCGAGCTACAGAAGGAGGTAGCAGAAAAAACGAAATATTGAGTCTTCAGATAGTCGTTTTATACACTCAAGGTCGAATAAGAAAAGAGCACACGTCTCGGAACAGTGAACAGTACATGACACAATAAGACGAGCAACATGAAGTATTGACTTTGACAGTTAGAACGATCATAATTTGACAAAGAGAAATCGACAATAGGATTGTACTTCTAAAAAATAGAATCCTTAGGATAGTGGTGGAAAATATCCTAACATATGAAACACGTACAATTCATGTTATAGTGATTCAGTAATTACAGTTCATTACAAGTGAACTCTGTCAACAAAATTATTTTTTTATGGTTAGCTGTTTTTAGGCGTCATAATAGTTCCATGATTTTCTACGGGATCCCAGTCCTCCTGAAAATCGCCCAACACCATGCACTTGATAGCTGACACGACTGCACATGTAGCACGATGAGCGGGCTGATCAATGCCCCCCCTCGTTTCAATTGGAAACAGGCACATATCCTAATTAGGTGGTAATATTTGCACACCGATGTAAAGAGTAACTCCACGTGACTAACCGTTTCTATCTACAGCGCCTGATAGTCGATATAGACGCGACGGCAGGCGAGGAAGATCTAGATATATTGCCGCCCCCGACTCTGCGACACAGCTCACATAGTCAGGGAAAAACCACAAAACTCAACTGCTACACCATGAATACTCTATGAGGACACCATGTCTCTTGGAGTGCAGAGGTGCTCCGTATCTCCGAACACCCAAACATCAAATTATATTCCCAATTCCTATGTTGCTTTGCTTCAACTTTGCCCGTGCCTGTTGGCTAACTTCTTACTTTAACTTAGATGCTCCCTTTTGCCCTCAAACAGATATCACGTTTGTCCAGGTTTCTGCATACTGGAGCACCACATGAGGGCACTTACTTCTTCTTTGACGCTCCCCGTGTCTTCATACGACTTATCCTCTCTTATGTATCCGTTCATGATAAGATAGCACACTACCCATCAATGATGACAACTCTATGTCTTAAAAGTACTCCATTGTTACAATTGAGCTCTTGGTTGTTCCTATGTCTGTTTTTTTGTCATGTAGAAGGATATTACAACATGGTATAGATGACCCTTTTGAGTCGCTATCACAAGACATCATTTGGAGAGATTGATGGCCGTACTGGAATTGCCTAAGAAAATTTGTTATTGATAGCAAAGCTGCCATACTCACCGAATTGGCAGCGCTCTTCACCGAAACTCACTCTCAACCCCACTTACACACAAAACACCTCGTCAATTACTCAGCAGTATCCCTTTGACACACGAAAACAATGAAGAAGCACGCTCTTTACTATACCCGCACATTAGCTGGATGTATGACCGCGTTGTGATTGGGCGAGTCACATACGATTTGCTTTGTTCGATGCGTAAGTCGGGAAACGGCAAATTTCGTCATAGATTTCAGTATTGGATGGGTAAGCGTTGTTTGAATCTACAAGATTGTCTTTCGGTTTATCCGAGTAACAAACAGGTTAAATTGAAAATCATCGTGGAGGATTTTTGTTTACAAAAAAAAGATATACTAGCTACTGTTCCATTCCACAATATCAACGAGATTGTTAGAAAAAAAAATGCTAATGGTTGGTTTATATTATGGTATTTTTCGAAATTGTGCCGCATTATATGTTTGTCTGCATAGATTGGGTTCTCTGCCTATCGAACTCTATGAAACTGTAGAGTGCGATCTACCGAGATCGTGAAGCAGGTTTCGAGTGGTGCTCTTGACCGCCTTCATCGTTATTTCTGTCGGGAGTGTCCTCATCAGTGGTGATGCGCCTGGTGACTGACGTCCTACTACGATCCGAAAATTCAGCTCGGACTAAGATAAAGGAACCGCCAAGATGGCTCCCCTTCTGCCAACATATTGCACGTCATTATGGCGTAGGCAGTAGATATTCTGTTACTGAATAAAAGGATCGAGTAGCTAAACTTGCGCGAAGTCAGTTCGGCTCATCCATGGACGACTTGGGGCACGTCAACGAACAATTGCGAACAAGCCAAGCCGTGAGACCAGATAATTGCCAATGTGGGAGGATTGTGTGTCCGATCACCCACAGTAGTCTTCGCAGCCGCACGGCAGTGCTATTGTGGGAACAAATCGCGAGATCTATGTAAAGAAGGCAGTTGTTATACGGAAAACGGTAGTTACTAGGCTAGGCTTTGATAGTCAAATGTCAGTAGATGGATAATATCACTGAAAACTTAGTCATTATGTTCAAGGTGCTTTTGGGACATGTTGTCTACGAATGCCTAATCATCGATAGCCTCGTACCGCAGGCTGCGAGTGTTATGTGAGTGTAAGGAAGAAAGCTAAAATTGTATGATTCAAGAAAAACCCTAATCCTACTCACACCACACCTTAACGCGCTAAATCACGACACAATTGTGTTTTCTAGTTATACCACACAATGTGATTTGGAAACCTAATAACTGTGTGTACTTGTATGGTCAACAGCGATAGTCAACGCTCTGTGAATCTGACCTTGAACTGACTCGATAATCTGCTTCTATTCGATACTAATCTTCTAATCAAAGTAGTCACAATCGGTTCTGCCCCTTGTTTACCTGCCGACTTCTACAGTTTGGTATTGTGCTGCTCTCGTATAGAAACAACTTTAAAAATTTTTGCAGCACATGTTAAATTATGACATTTATGGATCAACCTGCGCTCTTCTCGGACTGATGGTGCCTCCACGAATTAACAGATTTCAGCTACCTTCATTAATCACCTGTCATTCTCCACTGTTTTTGCAAGTTACTACATATGTTTGATTGTAATTTCGAATAACCTGGTTGAACTCAAGGTGTGGTTGTAGAAAAAAAACCCCCTCGACTATGAGGAACTTTAGTCATCTGTCACCATTCCATGTGCTATGTTTCAACTCCAGTATTGAATCAGAAATGATGACGAGAGTGAAACAACCCAATTATTGTTACACTAGAATAATCCGTTTTTTTTAACTGTTACTAATCGACGCTAATGTAGCTAGTTGATAAATCCTACGCAGATTGCCCTAATGCACAAAGTTATTCACACCACTAACTAAATCGATGTGTGGCCCCACAACAATCCTCCTGTAATAATATGAACACAACACCTGTAGCATGGAAACTGAGCTTATGTTCGCCGTACGACCGGACAGTTAGAAGAGCTCGAGGCATGGAATGAACACGGAAGTCACAACAACACGTCTTTAAGCATAAGGAGTCATCTCTCCTATTACATTTAGGTGTCGACTAGGCAAGAGACCAGTGAGCACGTCGAACACTCTTGTCTACTCGCTCGTTTTGGTCCCTACATCCACCTGTTGGTGTTGCCCCCTCCTCTTTGTCGTTGAGAGAGCATTCAACGCTAGTCCCATCACACTGACGGTCTTACCCTTCTCTACATACTTCGACACCTTAAACGCCTAGTAATACTCATTATCTGTAAAGCTTTTGATTCCGTTCATTCCTGCCTCCCTCTCTACTGTCCTCGACGCAACAAACAATTTCATCTGACAGTGTTGTGTTCAGATATACAGGAGATTTTGGAATAGTATTTGAGTAATATTGGAATATTTGGATTAGGTCAATCGGTAGGATTTCAAATAGCTACATAGCGTCATTATAACAGTTAAAAACATTATTCTATTAAACAGTTGGTTTTTCCTCTCTCATTCATTTCTGATTAAACTGGAAGAAACATCACATGGAATGGTACAGATGATAAATTCATATAGTCAGTTTTTAACACCTTAGAAACAGGTACAATTAATCAAACATATGAGATTATTGCAACATGAATGAAGTAATTAATAAGTAGCTAAAGTTTAATTCAGAGCACAATCAGTCAGGAGAGCGCATTACCAAAATGTCATAATTTAACTGCGCAAAAATTTTAAATTTTCTTACGAGAAGCCAAAAAAATGAGAAGTCGATAAAAGGGCAAACATTTGACTACTTAGAAGATTATTTCAATAAAGCAGATTATCAATCAGTCAATCAGTTACAACGTTGAACTTCGTACATACGTACACAAGTTTAGGTTGCCAAATCACATTGGAACAGAAACACAATTGTCGGTTAGCGGTAATGGAGAGGATTAGGGTTCGAAATAAATTTAGCTTTCTTCCTACATCACAAAACATCGCCCGTCGAGGCAGTCGGTGGTTAGGCATTCGTAACACATGTCCCAAGCACCTTGACTGACTAAGTTTCAGTATTTCATCTACTGATTTGCTATCCCTGCCTAGTACTCGTTTCCTAACAACTGCATTGCTTACTCGGTTGTCCCACAATACACGAGCAATGCTGCGAAGACACTGATGATCGAAAACAAGCACCCCACGAATATCTTCTACTCTGGCTTGCCATGTTTCGTAGCCAAAGAGCAGGATGGAGCGAACTACTGCGCAATACACTCGTCCTTTATTCAGTAAACAGATATCTCGCCTACGCCATAAGTGACGCAGGTTGGCAAAAGCCAATCGAGCCTTCTGTATCCGAGCTGAGATTTCGTCAGTCACCAGGCCATCAACACTGATGAGACTCCCGAGATAAGTGAAGCGGTCAACACACTCAACTGCTTCACTCCCTATCACTAGTTCAGATGCCGATGCAACCCAATCTTGAAGCAACATTTCGCATTTCGAAAAATACCATAATATAACAGATTATGGCATTTTTTTTCATAACAATCGATATTGTGAATGGAACAGTAGCTAGGATTCTTTTTTTTTGTAAACAAAAACACCACGATATTTTAATTTAAACCTGTTTGTTAACTAGGATAACAAAAGAAATCATTTGAATTAAAACCTTACACCATCCAATACTTGAAATATATATACGAATTGCCCCCACTTACGCATCAACAAACAAAATCGATGGACCCCAACAACGTAAATCCGCTAATTGACGTATATACAGAGCTGCTTCATTCATTGTTTTCGTCAAACGATAATGACGTGTTTTGTTAAGTGGTGAGAGTGGATCGGTTAAAGCATCCAAATTCAGTGAAGCAGCTTGTGCTTCAATGAAAATATTCTTAGCATCATCTTCCAATGATTTTGATAGCATAAAATCATCTACAATGTGTAAATCATTCTATGAAAAAAAGAAATAAAACAACAGACTCAATTGTACAAGTAATTTAAGAATAGATTTGTCATATTGTGGTGTGTGCTACTTATATGAACGATATAAGTAGTAGTATAAGAAGGGACGTGAAAGAAGAAGAAGTCTCATGGTCACAAGAGGAAAACGGAAAGTAAATGGAGCAAAAGCAAGAAGTAAAGAGGAAGTACCAACAGGAAGGAAAGGAAGAAACAACAGGAATGGAAGAATGATGATGGAGTGTTGAAAGTCACGACTCAAAGATGGTGTGCAAATAGAGTATTCAATGTAATGTTTTGGTTTTTAACTGACTAAGAGCGTAAATCTGCGCAATACAATCTTCCTCGCCTGCCTCAGTCTTCTCAATATCAGCTCTGAGATAGAAAGTAGTCACGTGAGTTAATCTTTACGGAAATATTAACACCTAATTAGAATTCCGTTTCCAATTGACACGGGGGGGGCATGAAGCCCCTCACGGGCTACTGCCAGTCTCAAGCATAGGCATGGGGTTGGCGATTTCGATCCCGTAGAAAATGAACTTGTTGAAAAAAAACGCTAACCAGAAAAAAATAATTTTGATTGACAGAGTTCAATTTGTAAATGAACTGTAATTACTGGAATCACTATAACATGAATGTGATAAGTGTTCATCAGTATGTTAGGATATTTCACCAAATATCCTAAGGATACTATTTTTTAGAAGTACAATCCTATTGGTCGATTTCTATTGGTCAAAATTATGATCGTTCTAACTGTCAAAGTCAAATACTTCAATGTTGCCTCTTATTGGTCATCTGGACTGTCAATGTCACAGACGTTGATGCTCTTTCTTATTCGACCTTAATGTATAAATACGCACTATCTGAAAGACTCAATAATTCCGTTTTTTTCCTGCCTACCTCTCTTCTGTACTCGACCCAATAAACAACTTCATCCCACAGTGTTGCGTTCTGATTTATAGGAGATTTGGAAATAGCATTTTGGGTCGTATTGGGATATTTGAATTAGACGCCGCTAGGACTGAATAGCTATACATAGCAGCGTTATAACACAATACAATTTAGTTTTTGTTGTAATTTTAAATATTTATGACCAATCAAAATGTGGTAATAAGATGTTTAAAGTAATTAGTTACTTTCAGTAATAATTCACTGGTTTCATATACTACTAAAATAAGTAAAATGTTTTCATCTGTAGATTAAAATGAAGGACAATTATATACATAGGAATTAAGAGATGGTGGAGAAGATTTGTAGCTCAGGTGGATGACTATGGTGGTGTTTGGTTCTCTGAGCTGGATGTTTTAGTAGTGGAGCTTTCATTGTTCTTCTGAAAAACATCATCAGCACAAACTTCAGATGATGTTGGTCAGAAGAACAATGAAAGCTCCACAACCAAAACATCCAGCAGCTCAGAGAACCAAACACCACCACCACATAGGAATTAAACTCATGAACGATAAAAAGAGTTTAAAAGTTCAAGGAATTTACATAATTTAACATTTGTTTAAATCAGCTAAAATTACCTGAGCATGTTTTATAGTTAACATTGATAATAAACCAGTAAGACGTTCATGATAAGGAAGAAGATAGAAATAAGATTCTGGTCCACGTGGACCTTTACACTGTCCTCCATTAATCCATATATGAGTGCGTCGATTACCATGACGAGCTTTTCCAGTTCCTTTTTGTGGCCATGGCTTTTTTCTAGTTCCATAAGGTAATTCTGCTCGAGTAGTTATACAACGCCAATCCTAGAAACAAAAAAACATGAAAAAATAACACTAACTCATTTAAAATAAAAGTTAAATGACGAACTCATCTTTACTGCATTCACATGTTAAATAAAAAAATTATCAGCATTAAGAATCGACCAATGAAAATTCATCTGTCTTCGATGAGTTAATCGAGACTGTTGAATTTTATAGTTAACATCAACAAGTTGAGTTTATATGAATAGCTACTGAAAACTAAGAAGCACTGGAAAACTGCTTCGCTTTAGTACGAAACCTCCTCAGAAGTGAGGATTCATGGCCCCACGAAAGGATCAAATTTAGGACTTTCGGTTTCACCAAATGAACTAGAAGTTAAGTGTTTGCGAGTGAAACCGAAGTCCCTGGGCTTGGTCCCCAGTAAGGTTATGGATGGGCACTGCTGTGCATTCACAAACCAGAAAAAAACAATTGTCCAACGCTCCGTATTTTTTAATAATTGTTCGTAAGTATGACTATGAGCATCTAGGTGAATGCATAAATACAGGAAACCTCAATTAGATGAACAGAACAGCAGAATACACAAATGAACTTTAAGTTGATTTATTGAATTTTCAGTCAGATTTAAAACTTGAAAACTGAAGGCATTAATAACCTACTACTTACTATAAGCTAAATTGTAGTGAACAAGAACACAGGTGAGGCAACCGAATTGTATTTAACAAAAAGTTACACAGTTACTCAGTAAAATAGGAAAACCATATCGTAAATCGTTCATTTGCAAAATATCAGTTCATCATATCGAACTGGACTGTTCCTGTTGCAAAACATCAATCTATTGTCACTATTCATGCGTTTCATACAAATTCCATTGTGTTTCCACTCTTCTTCCTTTCTTGATCTTCCCCCATCTTCTGCTGCCAGACATTACGTTAACACTCACGTCATATACTACTTATAAGTAGCTCGCACCACAAAATAAGTATCGGTAATTAAAAAAAAAGGAGTGGTGAATACATACACATACATACACACATAAAAATAGGTAAAAAACCAAAAACTATTCAACTATTGATTTAACTTACAATTAATCGATAATGAGCTTGCCAGTATAAATTTTTATGTATTAAATCAATACGTGGAAATACAGAGAATACATCTGGATGTAAATCAATCATACCAAGTAAACTTTGAGGATTGGAACATTGTGATAAACCTTGTGGTTTTAATGTTTCTAACCAAGTTAATCGAGAATTACGAGTAGTAGTAGTAGTAGTAGTTGGTGAACAATAAACTGATGGTTGAAGTTTTCTTGATGTAATAATTGGTAGATTAGATGATTCTGGTTGTAGATCAGTATATTTGATATTTGTTTCTGGTATTTCAAATGGACGAGATGAAACATTTCTTGTTAAAATATGACTATTTTGTTTTAAGAAAGGATCACGTCCATATTTTGCCTGAAAAAAATAAAAAATTGAATAGTTGGAAAAAAAAGAAAATTCAGTAAATTAAGACAAATACTTGAGATTTTGAAAAAGGTCAAAAAGAGAGATACATGTAAGAAACGATAAGGAAAACAATTACAAAACTTGTACATATTTAGACATAATTCTGTATATTTTTAATTTGATAATTTGAAGAAGTAGAGGATTTCGTTACTATCATGTGTACAAGATTTGTTCAACTTGAGTACATCTGATCGATGTCAAAAAACATAGAGTTTGGACAAAACCCAACTTGTATTGGAGGGGTATATTCATCAGATATTTACTTAAGCAAAGAAGCATTGGTACAAAGTGGCACCGAAATATGTCCGCACCATAATACAATAAAAATGCGAGGCGAGTATAATAAAGAGAACAACAAAGATGAACAGAAATCAGTGTATGAGGGCAGTAATAATAACAATTATTATTATTATCATTAATAATTAATAACAGCTATGCGGGCAGTTCAGTTTAGAAAAATACAATCAAAAAGCTTTCTCTCAGTTAAAGAAGTTCCTCCAACCTATATGAAGTAAGAGATTATGTGGTGCGCGCTACTTATAAGTAGTATATGACGCGAGTGTAAACGTAATGTCTGGCAGCAGCAGATGGGGGAAGATCAAGAAAGGAAGAGTGGGAACACAATGGAATTTGTATGAAACGTATGAATAGTGAAATGCCAGACAATGGATTGATGATGGATTGAAGATTTGCAAATTAACAGTTACGATATGGTTTTCCTATTTTACTGAGTAACTCAGTAATTTTCGTTAAATACAATTCGGTTGACCTCACCTGTGTTCTCCTTCACTACAATTATAGCAGGACCGCCACTGTCTTCTATTGTTAGCCATATCTTACAATGTTTCAAGCCATTATATTGTACAATCTCTAGGACCTCGGACAGGGAACGACATATACAGCTGTCTTTCGTACTATGACACCATGTCATGAACTGGCCACTACTCTGGTTTTCCTGACCAGTCCTAGATGCACGATATGAAATTTTCAGAGACGACATTCGTGGCCAATGTTCAAGCCATCGATGATGACTGAACTACTGTAATTATCCCTAAGTACATGTTGCCGAATCTCCACAACCATGTCAACAACACGAAGGACTAAAGATGGACCAGAATAGCATAAACCGCTCTGACTTTCACTACGAGTAAATTGATCTCATCAGTCACGCCACCATCATCACTTAACGCAGCTACCTGAATACACGAAGTTCTTGACTGTTTCTATCTGCTCACTACGAAGTGGGAATGTAGACATGGAGTCCTGCTAGTCTTGTAAACGTACTTTGCACTTACATGTAGAACACATGCCATACTTACAGGTGTTGATTACCAACCGACTAAGTGAGGACTGTACGGCTTGGCTATCATCATACAGTAAGAGAATATCATCCGCAGGTAACAGATCCACACCATTATTACCTACGTTCATCAGAGCTGTTCCAAGAGCATTACTGATGACAAAAATAATGAGTAATAATGAGATTTGGCAACCCTGCCTAACCTCACTGCTTGAATAGAACAACGGAGCACCTCTCCGTTGTAATTGGTAGTCTGGATACAAAATCAAAGCTAATCAAACTTATTGTGATATGTACACATTAGATGCTTACTATACATATTATAAAAGCTGAGTGTAGACTAAAGACATACAAAAACACTAATAATACTTTACATACGAGCACAGTATGCTAAAAAAAAGACCAGGTTTATTCAAGGGTTTTTAATGTCCGAATAAAATACAATTTTATGTGAAGTTAATATTGACAAACTAATGAGTAAAATGTAAAAACCATTGAAGAAAATACAAGCTGACTGGTAGCATAATGTAATTGAGGATAAGTAACGAATTCTACCAAAATACTCAATGATTATGGTAAGCACAAGATAGTACACAGATTTATTCAAACTATTTACATATTCCTTATAAAAATCTGCAAGGACAGCTTTTAAAAAGATAGATTTGATTTTGAGAAAATATATCTCACCCTAAAGTTTTAGATGATCAGTTTCATGATGGATGATGTAAATTATACCAGCAGAGTGACCAGATAAATTATGCAATGAAATTAATACTGTTCCCTTACATATACATACAAAAATATATTTAGTACGGTAGAAGTGCAGGTAAGATATGAAATGACTTTTGTGCAGGTGCATCCACTCGTTGTGTTCTATGGAATTCTAATTTTTTGAATTCGTCATCACTTGTACCTCTCTCTTTCTAAGTTTATCGAACTGAATTATACTTTTTGAATAATATCTTTAAACCCTAATCTTCTCGATTACCAGTAATACTTCTACTATATCTACCACTATGACAATTGCGTCCCTGTGCTAGTGTGGCAAACTGAACTTATGTACGTACGTACGAAGTTCTCCGTTGTAACTGACTGACTTTTGTACATTAAAAATGTACAGCGATAAACTAAGCCAAAGAGACAGGACGGTAACTACATGTTGACCATACTTGGTCAAATGTCGAATAGTGATTTGTCCATTCTATGAAAAAAGGATACGTTCAAACATACAAGCGGTTAGCTAGTTCTGACTCTAACAACCATTATATCTTTACCCCGGCCGAAGCTGCTACCTTGTCGTGGTGGTCGGGCTTGCCTACCGTCATGACCCAACCGAGCTATATTGGCTGGAACTCATGTTCCTGAAGGTTCTACCATGCCAGGTTGGTCGATTGGAGAACGATGAGACTAAAAGTAGCTACTCAAGGTCTGAGGGCGAAGTCGTACTGCTGACTGACTTCGTAGGGGTGTGACAGCAGTAAGGTGTTTCCCTCAGACAACCAGCATCTGCAGCGATGCTGCCTTCTCACAAGGAAGGAAGGGTTAGAAATGGTCGACCCTAAAAATGTCACACCTCCTACCTCACGGATTTCCGTCTCCTGTGGTAAGGGTACCCACTAACGGCTTTCAAGAGCGGAGCTAACACTCAAAAAACCTTTCATAAAAAGGCCGTGCGTGACCGGCCTCAAGCAGTTGTCCCTTGGACTCTGCGATCACGCTCCCAGGTCGTTAAGACCAACACTAATCTATCTTCCTTTTCAGGTCCCTCAAGAAACAACATTCCATGGCGTGGGCAGCCGGAAAGCAATATCCGCCCTCATACCCATAACAGCACGAGAGACAAAATTGGTCAAAATCAAAATTGGATTATATCTTTACATGGAATAAAAGTTCAACTTTTATTCAAAGTCACTTTTATGATACATGAAAACATTGAATTATGAAATGCGAAAAGAAATACTAACTTGTCTTAACCTACTAGTAAGTTGGTAATTTCACGCATAAGAAGAACCATTGTTATTAGTTTTTTTATTTCCGCTGCAGACAATAACAGATGTAATTTAGTATGAAATCAGTATATAATAATGAGAATATACTGCCACAGGATCTCACAGTAAAATGAGTCTGAAAATAAAAAGGGAAATATATATATGTGTGTGGAAATTTTAGAATGCTAGAGTTCATAACAGCGAAAATTTCTATACTACTCAAGCAAAAGTGATGGAGGTAAAATGCAACAATTTCGATGCAATCTAAATGTCAATTATGTATAGCTTTTTTCTATGAGCAATGAAAACAATAAAAGGATTGCGAAGTTACTAATAAGCGACTAACTGACATACAACTACCTCAGCAAATATAGAAAACAGACACTGAATAACACCAGATGATGTTATATCTCATATTTATTATTAAGAGTTATTTAAAATCCTCTTGATGATAGGTAAGTATTTTTTCAAAATATACAAACAGGTTGAAGAATATGTTCGTATAGTATAATGTTCATCTGCCATTGAGAAATTTAACCAGAGAACTAGTATCCATTCATTATTATTAGGATGCATCAGAGGTGTTAGCAACATGTGACTGCTTTTCAGAGTTGTAACCTTCCACAGGAATTGAGTTAAAGATAACTCGGGATTGTACAATTAATGCTACGAGTGTCACTTTAACTTGCACCACTTGTAACGTAGGACAGATGTCCATTTGTCAATCAAAAAGTACGTATATCAACGCAGCAGTCTGCTCGATTCTCCCTAAATGCTGTGAGAAATAATATATGAAAGCAGAAGACAAGTGAAAACTGGGTGTTTTTGATCATAGGTATTTTTGAGATATTAATAACGTTTTGTGGGACGATCGCGCAAACAACGTGGAGGTTCGGCATAAAGTACTTCAAAGAGATGGCAAATCGGTTGATGTGACTTAAAAATCGGTTAAGATTGCTATATGTGTCATCCACGTCTAGCCACCAACTAATCCAACGGTTAATATTTGCTGGTTTATAAATGCCTTAGGAGGAGGTTAGGCTTTGCTAAACCAAGACATTGAGTCAGTCGATGAAGTTACTGACTACAAATCTGAGTCATGTTGACAGAAACTACCTAGCTTTCTTCTAACCTACGCCTATATCACAAAACATAGCTCGTCGAGGCAGTCTGTGGTTAGGAATTCGTAACACATGTCTTAACCACCTCAACTGACGAAGTTTCACTACTTCGTCTACTGATCTGCCATCCTTACCTAGTACTCGTTTCCAAACAGCAGCATTGTTTACTGTCATCAGCATATTCTAAGCCGACAAGCAAGTCTCCTGGTAGAAGGTTCATCCCTGAAAAGTCAGACGAAGATAATGTTATCTCTAAAAGCATGTCTACGACAAAGTTAAGTAAGAATGGAGAAAGTGGACATCCCTGACGGAAACAACTTGAAGTAATTGATTCCGATGACAGTTCGTCATAAGCTCTAACTCGACCAGTAGTGCTCAAGTAGAGAGCTTTTGTAAGGTTAATGTACTTCTCTGGTACACCTTTTAGTGACAGACTGCCACAGAACCTCAAGATCGACAGAGTGGAGGTATGCCCTAAATCATATCAACTATAGTCTATAAAAATGGCTATCATTTCAGTGACTTTAATCAGTCATTTCATAAACTGATCGTGACTTCTGCTCATCCTCATCTTCTCTGTGACTCGTGGAGGTTGAAATGTAACTTGGTAAACCTATGGGAGTTTTTCAGACGATGATGATATTTTACACATTTGAAATCACCAAAAAAAGATGATATTTTAAGTGTTCAACCCACGAGCATTGTGCAACTTCCAATAAGCGCATCGATTCACATGAGCAATTATGTGACCTCTTCCCTCAAATTAGATCAACAGGAACCGATAACCAGGGCGTTGTTTCTCATTAAGCTGACGGAAAACATTTGATACCACCGCTCGTATTGGTATTGAGTAATGGATGAGCGACAAGTAACATTTAGGACTAATTCTGATAGGTCTAAATGCGTGTGGACTATTTGGTTAAGTACTTAAATTTTCTTTAGCGAGAACCAGAATTGAGATTCAGACGCTCAAGTTATCTTCCATAAATTTTTTTGCTAGTTCTTTAAATGCGGTCTAAATGTTTTCCATTTCATGAATTTTAAAACATTTACTAGGTATGGTTTTTCAGATTTCACAAAGGTGCCGAAACTCACTCAAACTGAGTTCAAATAAGTGATTTAAAGGCGACAATTTATCCACAGTAATCTAATTCACTGATATTCACCAGTAAGTTGATGTTAACGGTCTCCAAATCAAATGGTGTTTCTTTTTATACCTAACGGTGATACTCATCAAAGGAATGGTTATAAAATCACAGCTATAATAAACTGTTACTCCTGCGTTTGAAATGATGAAATTTCAGAATAAACACTGCAGTATAGTGAACTTTCAAGTCATCGTGTAGCATTTAATGTGATCTGATAGGTAACTACAACTGTTGATCAGGAAGTTGAGGAAAGGTTGATATAAGGAAGAGAAAATAAAACTAGAAGGATCAAAACAGTCATTTAATGAAAATATATAGACAAATGACGTTTCCTCGTCACTTGAGATGTGACTTTCTTGAGAAGCCTAAAGAATCTGAGGTGGTATCAACAACACTGTAAAAAATAAAACATATATCCGTCTAACCATAATTTCCTTTTAAAGAATGACAGACTACAGTCTCCAGGATTTCGACGCATGATTAACAAATATTGAGACTGGCATCCGAAATGCATACTACGAGGACTTTTAATTAATATTGATAACCATTAAAACATAAAAAAAAACTCCCGAAAAATCACCGGACCAATTCATAAAACCATGCTTAATCTACGTTTAATCATACTAATAAAGACAAGGGAAATCAAGTTATGAATCTCTCCGTGAGAGAACTTATAACTACATTGTTTATATTTTCTATACTGATCATAAATTCGCTCAATATGGAACACAAGAATAGAACCTAATTGAAGCTTTGCATCGACCAAACAAATTTGCCAGGATTTAACCAAGACAAATAGACGTAATGAGAACATACTTAGCCAAAACTAGACTGTCATTAGGGATGTATTAACAAGGCAATTATTAATTTTCTACGAGCTTAAAGCATAACGTACTAATGGACGAAATACGAGGTGATAAAGGTGGATCTAAAACCTCCAAGTCATTCTTCGGATATGAGGAGTGCTAAATCAAAAACCCACCAGCAAAAGGTAATCCACTTTCAATATCCAATCTTTCCAATATCTTTTTCACGAGCTAGTATTAACCAGTCGATTTCTTTGCACTCGACTCTTGTTCCTTCGGTAGGGTTCAAGGTATTTCATAGTGTCTTATGAATGGAGTTTAGCCACTCGACTGTCTAATTCCAGTCAGTTGACATTCGGTTGTGGTTTTGTATGTCCCGTGATTTCAATGAATGCCTTTGTTTCATGGCAGTAGGTTTTCTGGTTACCAGCAGCTACCACATTACCTGAAAGTAGATCAGTTGGTTGCAATAGGGAGAATAATAAGGATAAAATTCTAATGATAATTTGTACAAAATTTCAGAACTAAGTAATATATAAATGATTTAGTTTATTAAATGGCAGTGAAGATTGTGAGAGAGGACCGCAATTTAAGCAGGGGAGAGGAAACAGAGATGAGAGGCGACATAAATTAAGTGAGTGATCTGAGGACATGTCAATGATAACGACTAACAGGTCTCAAGATATGTATCATGCACTGCTTATCCAAAAGGGAGATGATAAATCCCTATGTGAGTATGTGATTATTAAGTCTCTTCTTAAAGCTGTCCATTGAGGGTTCTGTGATCACCTCTGATGGAAGAGCATTCCAAGTTGCGACGACTCGCATTCAGAAAAAGTGTGCACGAACCTGAATATACGCTCTTTGATATGCAATCTTTCGAGGATTGCCACGAAGGGAGTGGTGGTGATGCATCGGTAAGATGCTCATGTTGGGATGGTTTGGCGTGTTTAATATGGTGTACGCTATAATCAGATCACCTCTGATTCTCCTGTAACTTAGTGGGAATAGTACCAAGTTCTGGAGTCTATCTTTTTAAAGTTTATTTTTCAACCATATCACCCACTTAGTCACTCATCCCTGCACGTGATCCAATATATTTATGTCTCTTTTAAGCAGAAGGGGTTGTGTACCTCCAGGTGTGGGCACGCGTATGTCTTAAATAATGCAATGAATAATCCTGGGGTGATAGCATCAAGTAACTCCGCTAGTAGAACCTTAGGGGCTACTGCCGGTCCCAAGCCCGGATAAAGGAGGAGGGTTGGACATGGGGTTGGCGACCCCATTCCGTCGAAATCTCACTTGCCAAAAAAACGCTAACCAGAAAAAATAATTCAAACCATTTTAACTCTGCCCTGAGAGTTGGAAGAAGAATTATGACGTCTCGTGATGAAAGCCAAGTTCCCTCGGAAGTCACGGGGCCGATGCCTCTTCTGACAACCAGAGCAACCATTTTTTTAGGTACATGGAACGTTCGTACATTGTGGGAGACTGGAAGACTATTGCGCCGAGAAATAGAGAAAGATATGAGAAGAATGAACAAATATTGGACAGAACTGGAGAGGGAAGCCCAGGACAGAGTTTGTTGGAGAAAACTGGTGGCTGGCCTATGCTCCATTGGGGGTAACAGGCGTAAGTAAGTAAGTAAGTAAGTAAGTAAGTAAGTAAGATAGCATCAAGTCAGATTCGCATAAAGTGAAGAGTCGTATTTGCCTTGTCTGCATTCCCTACATAGTTCAGGGTCCTGTGGAGGCTTTCTGTGGTTATTAAACCGAGATCGCGCTCTGAGGAGACATTAGGGAGTGGACTTTCATTGAGGGTGTGAATCATTTGTGTCACGTTGGGCAGAATATACATGACGTGGCACTTCGGTTGGTTGAGTTTTGAACCGTTTTTCACTGCCCATTCCTCAATATATTTAAGGTCTTTTTGAAGCTCAGCCGAATCCTCTTCGCTTCTAATGGACCTCCAGATTTTCGCATCGTCTGCGTAGATTATTGCCGGTGAGCTAACTGAGCCTGACAGGTCGTTAATAAATATCGAGAAGAGAAGTGGACCTATGATGGTCTCCTGTAATACTCCCGATGTGGACACTCGCCAGCTCGCGCGCACTCTATTTACCTTGGTACGAAACTTTCTATTCTCAAGGAAGTTTCTGAGCTAAGATACAAGTGGGTCAGTGAAGCCCATTTCCACAACTTTTGTGATTAGGTATGTTTGCGTTAGTGTTTACTTATCAGTAACCGTGCCGAGACATAACTTCATCGCAGTCGTTTTTATGTCAAGCGCATGGATATATTAGTACATTTTATCCAATGATTAACAGCATGTTTCTTGAGCTCCTATCGTTAAGATTCATTCAGTTATCATGTACTATTAGATACCGGGAAAACAAGAAATATATCGAAAATAACTCATTTGAAGATGTCCGTTGGCACCTAACAAAGTGTTTCACTAGGGTTTGTGCAGCTTCTTGGCTGAAATTCACACATTGGTAGATACAGAAGGCATGTGCCCAAACACAAAGAATATATCACAATCAAACAGTTCGGTATGATAATATGTCACATAGATATTGAGTAATGCAATAAAAAGTTGATAAGTAGATAACTAAAATTACCAGTTGATGAATAGAGATTATAAGAGACAACTCAGTCACGTTACTACTTATCATGATGAGTAATAAAAAAGGATAAATATAGTCTTTACTGAAACCATGTTATCAAGTTCTTATTTGTTCTAAGATAAGGCGAATGTGAACCATGAGGCAACGCATAGAAGACATTCTGTTTCGAGAATCACAGACAGGAAATGATCGTAACTCGATTTCTCCAGTAATGTAACGTAAATGTTCAGCTTTTCTGAAGTCCTGAGGAGGTAGGCTACCATGCAGGATCACCAGGCTATGTGAAAAACCACAAGATGATCATGTAACAAAGTAAGGGGACCGGGAGTTAAATTGACAGGGAACGGAATCATTTGCTAACGTTTAAATCTGAAGGATATTATCCCAAATGAAACATGTCTATCCCACGACATCGCAAACGTTCAACTTGCGAAACATAATTCGCTCTAGAGGTAATAGACTTTCAAGTCTACTTGCTCACACGATGTACATCAGGCCAAACAGACTCCTAGAACAGAACAACCTGGTTGTAGAGAGTCACTGAACTTGCTTGAAATTGAGAAACAGGTGTAACCCAAAAGTTCAAAGTGATGGGTGCTTTAAGACAAATCGGGCAATGAAAATGCTGGTTGACACTAAAATCTGCACTGATCAACGACTCAAAAAAATCACCTGGGACAGTCGACTTTCTCTTAGCACTGAAATTCTTTATTTGCATTTATACTGCATACAATCAACCTTCGATAGCTGTTAGTATTTGTAGACCTAACTGCCACGAGAAAAACGTACATACTTGAGTTAAAAAATAAATAAATTCATGTGTAACTACCAAAATGACTGTAATTGGTGCAGCTGAGTTGCAGGACTACCATACAACGGATATCCAATGGACACTACTGGGTTTCTGAAACCGTACATAAAGAACAAGAATCGAGCACAAAAAAATCAGTTGGTTTATACTGGCTCGTCATAAAGATATTGAACTTCGGGTATCAGAAACCAATTAGTTTTGATTAGCCTGTGATCAGGATATTGGATATTGGAGATACGAAATCTAATAGAGGCATTTATGTATAGCACGTTACGTTATGAAACGGCAGGTGGTTTTCAGTGAGTCAGAATCAGGTAACTCCTGCTTCTTCTTTATTTATAAAAGATGATGAATTTCAAACAAAGGAGAAACTACCAGTAAAACAAAGCACAAAACGACATTCAGATAAGAGGAGAAAGTGTGCAGATGTTGATGGTATTAAATAATCTTTTAATGTAATATTCAGATGATGCAACATCTTGCCGTAAAGATTCACAGCTGTCTATTATTGACTCTTTGCGAAGACAACAGGAGTTATCCAAATTATCCCGTGGTAAGAAGGCGAATACCATCGAAGCGTACTTCTCGCAGCCTGTGAAACCCAAGAAGAATGAAGTTTCCGTTGATGATTTTTTCGGATCATCTGATAAGAAATCAAGCACTAAGGTAAGCTCTTAGTAAACTTAGTCTGTTTTTGGTTTCGACCACATAGCTACCACGTGTTTTGTTTTGGAAATTGTATGGGATTATTCTTGATTGGCAGACAACAGCTAGAGATAAAAATATATGCTACTTATCTAAATATGTTTCGGAAAATTCACTTATCTTTGTCATGTCGGTTTGGTTTACCTCGTATGGTGCTGAAGGGGTTTATCTAAATATCAGTCGGTGGAACTAAACTAGGGGGACGAACTAATCATATCTCAGATCACTCCTCATAAACTTTTGCGTCTATTTGTTGGTAAATGGGATCCTTGTATTAAATTTTATTTCTGTTTTGTCCCATTTCCCTGACCCTCAACCTTAGACCTTAACACTAGTTCTAAACCCTATCGTGAACCAAGTACGTGGTTACGATTTTGTAAAATTGTGTTAGGGAGTCGCTAAGGTTCGTCTCCACACTTTGGTTCTAGAGTTGATTCTATTACATGATTCCTACAGTTTATGATTTCAGTAAATATGTTTACTTATCATGTGGTTGCTCCTTAGTGTTTTGGTCCCAAAAACAATTGCATTCTTTTGTTGATAATATGAGGTAACGGCTTACAACAGTTCACGTTTCTAGTGTTCATGTTTGTCTCTTTCTACATCTTAAGTGTAGTATTATTTGTATGTGCGTTGTTCCCAGAATCTTTTACCCCCTCACCTATATTTATAGTAGTAATTTCTAGGTAGTAAGCATACCATGTTCTATGTTGTTTTTATATTTTTGAGTCTGTTATAACTGGCTGGCTAACTGATTGCTTGGGACACTGAATGCAGGTATAATTCATGCTCTATCAGTCAATGAAAAAAATGAATTTTGGATGGTTTTTTCAGTTATATTAATTTCTGTCTGCTCACATTTTCAAAACATCTTTTCTAAGCCTTCAGTTATTCCCAGTACACCACCTCATTCACCAATGGAGATCATCCCGGATACACCGGTATTCTCTCCGAAAGAACCTTTGGTAGTTAAAGAAAATCATGGAAGGTCACCTAAAACTGATATTATTTCGGAAGGTGTAAAAAAGGCAACTGGTAATCAAACACCATCCAAGGTTAGTCGTGCTTTCTACTACTGGTTTCAATGTTTTATAAAGCATCTATAGTCTCCAGGTTTATAAGTGTTAAACAAATAAGTCCGCATACTTTTTTTTGAACGTTTCATTCTAGATACTTACTTAAAAAGGTTTATAGTTTTTCGCCTCAGGTTCGTTCCAGCGTGCTATCGTACATATATCTCATCTACAAAGTATATTTTTATGTACTCTGCTTTATGTCACACTGTTTGCAATCCACTCACACTACTTGGATGCTAAAACAGTATTGAGAAGAGCGTCATTCCAACCTAGGACCTGGTTGAAATCCGGTTGTCTTAGCCTCTAAGCCATCACTTCACTCTAGTGTGTTCACTATTTCTAAGTGATTACTTATTAGTTAGAGACATAACCTCCATTTAATCCGATCAGCGAATTATGTTGCTGGTCAATAAAAATCTGTACATCTAAGGGGAATGTGTTCATGTTATATGTGTTTATCAACGGCTATGTTTTGAATAAGTTGTTCATAAATCCAGCTATTATTTTTCTATAGTATATTGTACGATGGGATTTTTGATGTATCAAATTCACCGTTTTATTAGGGTACTGCCAAGGTTTATCTTTCTGTTATCGGCTACTTGAGTTTAAGCCTGGTTTGGTATGTAAAGAAAATCCAAGGCTGTTTGTGTTCTCAAATTTATCAAATTCATTCATTTGTCTAAGGCACGGGTGCGCTCTAGCCACAGACAGGTGTTAAAACTATCTTGCTTGTCTACATACGAGTTTGATGATTTTGTAGTAGATTTCCAACATGGATCACAATTTGTTCCTTGTGTTCCGCTTTTTTACATGTATGCATTCTATGTTTAGTTTTTTGTCATTCAAGGAATACCTATATTATGTAAACGCTAACAACGTTTTACTATTCAAATCTCTTTTGGTTTTTACTAATGTAAAATAGGCTAATGAATCTCTTAATAGTAGCACTGATAACGCTACGAAAGATCGAAAGCATTTTTGGGCCTATAAAGCTCGTGATGGTCCCCGCAGTATTGGATCAAGAGAAATTCCTAAGGTGAGGTGTAAGATGTTAAATATATGATTTATTTTAACCTATAATCGAATCTGATTCTTGTAGAATTTTCCATGTGGTAGCCACATTTTTAGTGGCGAATTGTTTTAATAAAATGATTTATTTTTTATTTGACGTAACTTGTTATTTGTCTTCTAATCCGGTAGTTAATAGTCGTACTTCTCAATAGTGATCAAACTATAGAGAGAGGTAAGGCTTTGCCTGGGCGATACAGTTTACGGAAGTTTATGGCTAGTTTTGTTAGATCCATGGGATAATAATGTATACCTTAAAAGTCCTAGTGTTGTCTCGTATTGTTTCTATGTTAATATGACTGCTTGGCGTGATTAAATCTGAGAAAACAGACGAACACTGTAGACTCCGATAAAATTATCTATCTGAACAAATCCTGTACCAACACAGGCGAAAGTATAATTCAAAGAGGAAAACCATAAAGATGAGGACAGTAATGAAATGTATCATAAATTCATTGGGTAAAGATTAAGAAGACAATCAGAGAAATGAAATACAATATGAGGATAGTTTGATTTCCAAAACTTATTAGTTGTTATTTTGAATTCTATACGGCGAATGACTCAGTTTTGATAATTTTTCTCTTGCCAATCGTAACTAGAAAGTCCAGGTTTCATTGAACCTAACCAACTGTTAAATATGAAACTTAAGAATATATTGATTTGAACTGAACACACTTATTAGTGATATTATGCGAAATAGCATAGCGTAACTCCTATTCGTAACGGACATCATGCCTAAAATGTAAGCGGACTGTTATGTGCAAGAGTTTTTCATTCCTATTCCAGTATACGTACCTTGTTTTAGAAAGTCGAATTTAGATATTAAAAGTTGTCTACATATATAATTAGTAAAATATGACTAATTTAGCATTTTCTATTTTTGTAGTATGATGTTTTTATTGATTGAGCACGGATTTATGGACTTGGTTTTGCGTCTTAAGCTTTTTATGAAGCTGTTAATAATGTCCGAGTTCCCGAACCGAAGTGACCTGAGAGTAGTTTGAATTTACGGCCTACTGTCTGAAAGCTTTGTTTTGACTTTTAAGCCATCAAGAATCGACAGTTGCCTTTGCACTTCAAAAGTAATCGCAAATAGATTTAGACAGTGTGGACAAAAGATATGATAATAGTGGAATGTATGCGAACATTTAGGGATCCATATAACCAGACACGTAGTTAACGCCATTCATCATATATATTCTATGTCAGTCATATCAGAATGCCCAATCGAATTCAAATAACATACCTAGTGGTCGCATATCTATTTAGTCTCATGTGAAATATAATCATTTACAGGCTTCATAAATTTATAACACTTATTTACGTACGGAAAAGTTTATGCCAAAAAATTAGTAAGCCTTTAGTACTCCTTTGTTTTCCAGCTTCGATTTAAAGATAACTTATTCGTATTTATTATCTTAAAAAATGTCTAACTAAATATTTTATCAGTCAAAAGCCATGCTTATCGAGAACTACTGCTTTAGATTTTTACGCAGCATTAATGTACTCTTCAATACATAGTTGGTAATATAATTATCCGAGCGTCTGGTCACTAAGTTTACAGTTGTGTTTTCTCCGAAAACTACTGGGTAATTCCATGTAATGCTTATCTTAATTATATCAGTGATCTTGAATATTTTAACTTGAAGCGCCGTTAATTTTTCGGTGGTTTTTGATGGTTCGTCCAATGTTGTGAAATATGAAAGTAAAAACTTATACTATTTTCCAAAATCTACAAAAATGCCTTAGTAAGACACAACATTATACAATTTTTCATTCTAGGGAACTCCGGATTGTTTAAAAGGATTAAACTTTCTTATCACTGGAATACTAGAATGTATTGAACGAGAGGACGCTGTAAATCTTATACAGAATTGTGGTGGGAAAGTTTTAAAGACATTAGGTAAAAAGACGGATTATCTTGTTGTTGGACGTGAACCTGGTGCAGCTAAAATTGAAAAGGTTAGTTTTTAATTCAATTAATATTGATTTCCGCTTAAACTGTTATGCTCTTTCATCAACTGTAATGATTATTTTCGGATATTTTAGTATGATGTTAAATAGTTTACTTAGAAACAGAAAGCAATAGTACTCTTGTACTATAAAATTTTCTGCCTTCTCAATTATACTGTTTTGTCAGTCGATATTAAGGTATGCGTCGTTAAGAGGTCAACTGGCTGTTAAATCATAACTGACGGCCGTCCAGTGTTTCCAGGTTTTTAATGGTGGTCTAACAATGATTGATTCACAATTTCAGTGTAAAACAATAATTTAAAACAATTAGTCCCTTCTATATTATTTTCTTTTAGTGACACTTCATCAGTTGAGGTGGTTGGGACATGTGTTGCGTATGCCCAACCACCGACTGCCTCGACGGGCTATGTTTTGTAGTGTAGGAATACGTTGGAAGAAAGTTAGGGGCGGCCAAACGAAAACATGGCAGGAATCCATGAAGTCACTGACGAGTGGACTTAGCCATGTTGGTAATTGTCGACTACCTGGTTGGGGTCCGCGAGATGATAATAATCGATGGTTAGAGACCTTGAATGACATGGCTCAAAATCGTTCGCAATGGCGCCGGTGCATTTATTCTTTGTGTTCTCTCAAATCCTAATCTTCTGGGTTCTTCAACACCTCTAGTTTTGACTTTCGAAACTTTTCTCATTAAATCATACTTCTTGAATAATATCTTCTAATCCTAACCTCTCCGATTACTTCTAATACCTTTACTACCTCTTCTACTATTGGATTTGAGTTGAAAATTACATCTCTGTGCTGATGTGGTATGGCAACATGAACTGATGTACTTATGTACGAAGTTCTACGTCGCATCTGACTAACTGACTGAGGTATGCGTCGTTAAGAGGTCAACTGGCTGTTAAATCATAACCGACGGCCGTCCAGTGCTTCCAGCATTCTAATGGTGGTTCACAATTTCAGTATAAATCAATAATTTAAAACAATTAGCCCCTTTTATATTATTTTCTTTATTTTGTTATTATAAATCTATAGTTAAATAATTTCATAGTCTATTTTGCATAGTTTTTTCCTGAATGTAAACTAAAATTTGTATAATCAATGAAAGTAATTCTAATTATTTTCCACTAAAAAATTCAATCACTTCACATTACATTTGTGAAGAAAAAGAAATAATTTTAATGGGAAATATTTAGAACATACAAAGTGAAATGAATCTCATTTGTTCTACAGAATGTTTATTTGTTCTTGTTAGCTATGTTCTATATTGTGTAACATTGTAATACATAACCAAAGGACGAGTCTACTGCGCAGCAGTTCGCTCCGTCCTACTCTATGGATGTGAAGCATGGCCGGTAAGAGTAGAGGACATTCGTAGGTTACTAGTATTCGATTATAGATATCTTTGAAGCATTGCTCGTATATTCTGGGACAGCCGAGTAAGCAATGCTATAGTTAGGAAAAGAGTATTAGGTAGGGATGGCAGATCAACTTCATATGTGTTGTGTATGCCAAACCACCGACTGCCTCGACGAACTGTTTTGTGTAGGTTGGAAGAAAGATAGGGGCGGCCAAACCAAAACATGGCCGAAATCTATGAAGTCACTGACAAGTGGAATGAGTCATGTTAGTGGTTTTCGACTACCTGGATAGGGTCTGCGAGACGAAAGTAGCTGATGGTTAGAGACCTTAAACGACATGATTCAAAATCGTTTGCAATGGAGCAAGTGCATTCATTCGTTATGCTCTCTCAAATTCTTACCTGAATTCCTCATCATCTCTGTCTTTCTCGTTGTGAAGTTGTCACTGAACTATACTTCTTGAATAATATCTAACCTTAATCTTCTCCATTACCGCTAATACTTCCATTGAATTTACCACTATGGGATTTGAACTGACAGTTTCGTCTTTGTGCTAATGTGATATGGCAACCTGAACGTATGTACTCATGTACGAAGTTCTACATTGTAACTGATTGACTGTCATACATGATAAATAGGAAATTGATCTAGTACACTTTACATTTCAACTATTGATGACTGCTACTACTACTATTACTGCTACTAACCTACAAACCATTGAATATATATGAAAAGCTAATCTAAACAACATAATTGTCATCTCAATCATTCAATCAACTACTACGTAGAACTTCATACGTACCTACACACCAGTTCAAGTCGGTTAACTGAAATGAATATTCTATTTGATATTTAAAAAAGTAAAATCTATCTACATATTCTGTGCAATATAAAACTCATAGTTCTGCAGTTTAAATGACCGCATTGATTTTTATTTTATTTTATTAGGCTAAGAGAGTGATAGTGTAGTGAAGGAGAACACAGGTGAGGGCAACCGAATTGTATTCATCGAAAATTACAGAGTTTCTCAGTAAAATAGGAAAACCATATCGTAAACGGTTAATTTGCATATCTTCATTCCATCATCAATCCATTGTCTGACATTTCACTCACTATTCATGCGTTTCACACAAATTCCATTGTGTTCCCACTCTTCTTACTTTTTTGATCTTCCCCCATCTTCTGCTGCCAGACATTACGTTTACACTCGCATCATATACTACTTATAAATAGCGCGCACCACAATAGTTTCGCATTTAAACTATTTCACTTTCAATTATTATTGTCTTATGAACTCGAATGGGGTGCAATTATCTTAGCAGTTTTTCATTACTTTTATGCTTGTTATGAGACTTTTACTTACAACTGTTTTGTTTTCTGTCAATTATTTATTATTAAAGGCTAACAATTTGAAAATTAAGCAAATTACTGAAGAATATCTTTTTGAGCTGATAGAAAAATCTACTGATAATAATGCTCTTAACCATCCTAAATCCAATATGTCCAGTTCAATTAAATCGAAATCTTCTGAGAAGTCAGAGCATACCGCTGTAAATGATAGCCAACAAAAAGTAAAAAGTCCTAAAAAATCTCCTAAAAAGAATCAATCTGTCAATTCACAAGATAATATTCTTAAATCTCCTAAACATCATCATCATCATCATCATCATGAATCTCCGAATAAATATGCCAAAAAATCTGTCACATCTTCTGGTAATGAACATCTTCCTCTTACTGCACGTCCTGTTTTAACTAGTAATTCATCAGTTCATCATAAAACTGAACGAAGTCATAATAGTAGTCTGTCTAATGTTGTCAATGATAGCCAAGAGTCATTGTTCAAGAAAGAGACAAGTTCCAAGTCGTATGAACTATGGGTTGATAAGTATAAACCAATGTCTATTCGTTCATTGATTGGTCAAAATGGTGCACAAAGTCCAGCTAATCGACTTTTGAATTGGTTATCTTCTTGGCATTCAAATTTTTCAGCAGGTTTGTAATGTTATTGTTTATTCTGTCATCTTTATAACTATTAATTCACCTTTAAGGAGAAGTTATTGGATTGAGCCTACAGTTAGTATCATCTATTGATCTTCCATCTTTATATAGTTAAGAAACGAGTACTAGGTAAAGATGGCAGATCAATAGATGAAGTAGTGAAACCTCATCAGTTGAGGTGGTTGGGACATGTGTTACGTATGTCTAACCATCGACTGCCGCAACGAGCTATGTTTTGCAGTGTAGGAGTAGATTGGAAGAAAGCTAGGGGCGTCCCCTGGTTGGGGTCCGCGAGACGATAGTCACTGTTAGTTAGAGACCTTGAACGACATGGCTCAGAATCGTTTGCAATGGCGCAGGTGCATCCACTCTTTGTGTTCTATGAAATTCTAAGCTTCTGCATTCCTCATAATCTATACCCTTCTCCTTCTAAATTTATCTTACTGAATTATACTTGAATAATATTTTTAAACCCTTATCTTCTCCATTACTGCTAATACTTCTATTATTGCTATCACTGTTGGATTTGAACTGACAGTTGCGTCTCTGTGTTGATGTGGTATGGCAACCTGAACTGATGTACTTATGTACGAAGTTCTGCGTTGTATCTGTCTGTCTGTCTGTTATTTTAAGTAACCTACTGTTTCAAAACGAAAGTCACAAAAGTACGTTTATAGATTTTCTTTTTTTCAAATCGGGAACTTATCTTTCTGCATTTACAAAGCGCAAAGCTTAAAATCGTATTTATGCTCATCTGCTCAAGCTATTTATATTTTCATATAGAAGTAATTAGCTGTCGTATTTCAAACCTGTAACAACCTTTTAGTTACTATATGTATTGTCTGATGATTTTGAAACTTGTTCGATGTACTTTTAAAGCAAATCGTGATTACTTTTGCAATATTTACGAGAAATTTTTGTAGTTAACAGACATTCTAGAAATGCTGTAAAATAATTTCGTGTCTTTTATTCCAATGAAATTCCAGCTACGGTATTCTATAACCTAGCAATACTAGGAATCAACTGCTTTTGTAGTTGAGTTTAGTTTTAATCTTTTGTATGTTCATCCCGTTTCAGGTTTAAAAGCGAAAGCTTATTCAAGTGCGCCTCCATGGGGTCCATCATCTAGTGATGATGGCAAATGGGCACGGGCAGCACTTCTGTCTGGACCTCCGGGAATAGGAAAAACTTCAACAGCTGCTTTAGTATGTAAAGAACTTGGTTATACCTACTGTGAATTTAATGCATCTGACTGTCGATCTAAACGATGTTTAAGTGAAGATATAGGACAATCTTTGGGTTTGCAAAATTTGTCACATATGGCTTTTGGTCAAGGTAGGTGTGTATAGTGTTTTTTGTAATCTTTTTTGTGTGTATCAACATTTGATGCTGATAGTTCATAAAAATCTCATTATTCGCACATCCACGTACATCCACGATAAAAATAAATGGAATGGTTTCGAGTCTGTATTTCCTTGACCTTAAATTTAAATACTAATTGTTGGTTTTTGTTAAAAAAAACATATGATACCACACATTTAATATGGTAATGATCAGTGAGATGTATGTTGTAACTCGCTCTGTCCAAAAGCTGATACTGATATATACTCTTTCAGTTTACGAGCCCATGTATTCGAATAATAGTGAGAAGGAAAGTTTACATGTCCTGTTGTGAATGAGAACACAGGTGGGGCAACCGAATTGTATTTAGTGAAAATTACGGAGTTACTCAGTAAAATTGGAAAACCATATTGTAAATCGTTCATTTGCAAAAGATCATTTTATCCTATGGAACTGGACTGTTCCTGTTGTCAAACATCAATCCATTGTCACTATTCATGCGTTTCATACAAATTCCATTGTTTTCTAACTCTTCTTTTCTTGATCTTCCCCCCATATTATGCTACCAGACTTTACGTTGACACTCACGTCATATACTACTTATAAGTAGCTCGCACCACAGCGCCACAGTCCGAAGCGAACCGATTACATGTGCACTTATTTTTATGTGTCTGTCTCCTAGATGATTGAGCCTATCAGTGATTTTAGTGTTCTCCCTTGGAAAAGAAAGCCATTTCTTGGCCAGTCGTCTAGAAATCTTTAATCGGCCGATTGTATCGGTCTGTAACCGATTAGTTTCAGAATGGAGGCTCGAAAACTGTGTGTAGTTATTCGATAACAGTATCGACTATTGTATATTTGAGTGTGTGTGTGTGTGCGCGCATGCTTACTTGCTCATTACATGTCTAGCTCTATTACTTAGTCATACTTCAGCACATGAGAGTTGGCTCACTCGCCTTCTCCAATTCGCTTCACTTTGCTTGTACGGATTAATCTTCATGTCTGTCAGCTTTGATGAGTACATGAAATAAATTAGTGCGCAATACCGTATTTGGCTCCTTATTACGGGGTTTGCCTAAATTTGATATACGGAAATGGACGGGACAATTTATTTAATCGCATACTCGATCATTTGTGAAAATTGGAGTCAAGTCGCAAACCGCTAAAATGCTGAGCCCAACCAATTTAACCATTAAATTAACGCTCGATACTATAGTAGACGTAAGCACAAGAATAATATTGTTTTCAACCCAGTACTACTAGATTTTGAATAAACTCATAGTAATCGAGTATAAAGATATGTCTATATTTAATGTGAAGTTTCTGGAATTAAAGTACAAACCGCTATAAATTTTTTAAATATTTTGACTATTAATTTCAATAAGTTTTTTTAGTATTATTAATATTTTGACAGCTCCATATGTAATCTATTGTAACTTACAAGCATTACTTTACATCTTTACGGTATATATTCGTTGTCTGAAAATAAATAGTTTTTTTTCTGACAATTGACTGTACATTGGTTTTCACTAATTATTTTAACCTTATTTCCACAGTCAGTCAATCAGTCAGTTACAACGTAGAACTTAGTACGTACATAAATCAGTTCAGGTTGTCATACCGCATTAGCACAAAGACGCAACAGTCAGTTCACATCTAAAAGTGGTAGCAATGGAGATAAGAAAGATGTCAGGAGGAGTAAGATGGATTTGTTTGTGACCGATCTGGTCTCGCCTGCTGTTACGGGTATCAGGGCGGATGTCACTTCCCGACTGCCCACACCGTGGAAGGTTGTTTCTTGAGGCACCTGAAAAGGAAGATAGATTAGTGGTTGGTCTTGGAGACCTGGGAGCGTGACCGCAAAGTTCAAGGGACCACTGCTTCAAGCCGGTCACGCACGGCCTTTTTATGATAGGTTTTTTGAGTACTAGCTCCGCTCTTAAAAGCCCTTAGTGGGCACCCTTACCGCCGGAGACGGAAATCCGTGAGGTAGGGTGAGTGTGACATTTTTAGGGTCGACCTTTCCTAACACTTCTTTGTGAGAAGGCAGCATCTCTGCAGACGCTGGTTGTCCGAGGGAAACACCCTAATGCTGTCACACCCCTCTACAGTCAGCAGTACGACTTCGCCCTCAGACCTTGAGTAGCTGCTTTTAGTCTCATCGTCCTCCAATCGACCTACCTGGCATGGTAGAACCTACAGGAACATGAGTTCCAGCCAATATAGCTCGGTTGGGTCATGACGATAGGCAAACCTGAATACCACCACGTCAAAATAGCTGCTACTTCTACAATCAAAGATTTTAATTTACTGAACTATCAAAACTTATGGGCATTAGTTCGTAAGTTCATTAGAAAAAAAATTATTCAAATAAATTCAAAATAAAGTATTGTAGATAAAAACTTAACTCCGCATGGGGCCTCTCCTAGGCTACTGTCGGTCTCAAGCCCGAATTAAAAAGGAGGGATAGGCAAAGGGTTGGAAACTTCATCCTGCAGAAAATTAACTCGCTGAAATCGCGTTAACTAGAAAAATCATTTCATTCCATTTTAACTCTGCCCTGGCAATTATAGAAGGTCTTCGTCTAGAAGAGTTATGACGTCTCATGAAATGAGACTAAAAACAAAAAAACTTATTTCCTCTTATAATCTAACATTAGTTATAATAAAAATAAGAGCAAACCAAAACAGCACTGATAGACACCTGTTTCCCTTCGTTTTATCTTAGTTGAATTCACTTGATCTAACCTACAACTACACTTTCAAACTTTCAAATCTCATAGTAAACATGACACTTTTATTTTATATCATGACAGTTCAAATGACTCACCAATAGTTTAATTGTATGCATAACATATACGGTTAGGGCGTTCACGTACAATACCGAAGGTCCTGGGTTCGAATCCTGCGGAGTGCAAGAGGAGTCGTGGATGCGCACTGCCACGGATGAGTAGTCCCATACCAGGACGAAATGGCCGTCTTGCAGTGAGTGCTTCCAGGTTTCTAATGGTGTGAGTCTAACATTGATCGTCGATTCATGGTTTCAAAAAAAATGTGTAACTTAACAATCTTCACAACCCCATAATGCATATACGGTTTTATTTTTATTTTTTTTTCTACCAATAGCATCAAAATTAAATTCCGGTCATCATGTTCTAATTATGGATGAAGTTGATGGTATGGCTGGTAATGAAGATCGTGGAGGAATGCAAGAATTGATTAATATGATTAAAATTACTCAAATCCCTATTATATGTATGTGTAATGATCGTCAAGCAATTAAAGTAAGTAATATATTTAAAAAACTAAAACGAAATGGTCCATATAATTATGTTATAATCAAAATTATAAGTCAACTGTCGATTTAATTGTTTCTACAGCAATACTAGAATACTTTGTGTGTTATGATTTTTGTTTGTTTCAAACGTTGAGTTTCGAGTATTTAAATTGGATTAACCATTTGTTAGGATATTCACCAAATATTATCCTACGAAGAATTATTTTGTAAGTGTAAATTCTATTGGTCGATTCCTATTGGTCAATATTACAGTCGTCCTAGCTATCAATGTCACGTACTTCAATGTTGTTTTTTATTGGTCGTCCTGACTATCAATGTCACTTCAAATCTTGTTTCCGATTGGTCGACTTAACTGCCAATGTCACAGACTTCGATAATGTTTCCTATTCGACCTAAATGTATAAATACGCATTATCTGTAACGTTTTATGACCTGGACCTTGATGCTTAGTCCGAGATCTTGATTCTCTTCTGGACTCGGACCTCGTACTTTCTGGATGCTTGTAGAATACAAGTTTTACTTCATATCAAGTCTTCTTCTTTTATTCAATGGGGGTTTGGGACACTCGGATTAGAGTAGCATGTCGTGTCGCCAGATCCTCGATCATCACTCTCATTTTCCGACTAAAGTAAAGTCGTAATAGTTCAGGCATATCAAAATGACATGTTTGCGTGCATGCATAACACCATTACTATTACATTCTTAGTTACTCATTGGGTAATCTGATTAAAATTGTAATTGTGATATTTCCAGTTTATATGAGTAACTGATTTTACTTTAGAGATTCTACCTTTTTTAAAAATGTTCTATGTTTCAATCTAAGTGAGCTATATTAGCACACTTTAGATGCTTTAAATGAGTTTCAACTGTTAAATATTATTTTGAGGAAACGTAAAAACCACTGCTTGACAATGATGTTATGTGTGAACAGTTTTGGCTAATTTTTACGCCTGATTTTCTTCACAAGTATCTTTAACTCTAAATGCATCTTGAACAACTGTTTATCACATCAAACAGTTTTGAAACTGCTTAAACATGTTTTTTACTTTATGAAAACCTGTTAGCTCTTGAGATTCGAACTTTTCAAATACTCTGTTATTTGTTTGTGTAAGATTAAAACAACATCAATGGTTATTTTTCTCACCAGATTTTCACACACACACACATACCTGTTTCTGTCACAACTGATTCATACTATTTCACATTCATATTTACATATTTGTTTTTTGAACTCTGTTTATTTTTCATAATTTTATATTTTCAATCGCTTTGTTCAAGAAGCTTGAAACTAAACTGGTGAATGAAAACCTAGAGTTATCTTTAACAATGTAAATATACTGTAGTTTTTACAAGTATAATTTCATACCTTTGCATATACTTGACCTTCAACTATTGTAAAATCAACTCATTAAATTTAGACTAAAGTCTCAATAAAATTTACTTTTTGTTCAAGGCCTTAGCAAACCTATCGAAACATCTGACCACATGACAGAGTTACACGCAAAAATCTGAGCGCAAATACATACTTCGTCTAGGAAGCATTCCTATTATTCATAAAAAATGTATTTAAAACTAATTAAAAAATCTCATTTCATAAGGTGTCTAGGGTATGAATGGTAAGTTTATAGTAAAATTAATGATACGTTATGAATTAATTAATGAAAGATTATTCACAACATATGACAATACACATAAAACTGCTGATATCTGTATCTTCAAGGTCAGCGTTTGCTATCAAACATTGAAAACGCAACTAAGAATATATTGAAATTGTTTATGCTGAAGCAAAGATCTAATAGATACACAAAAGTTCAAAAATGATGACATAAAGCGTTTATATGTTACACTTTTTGTTATAAGTTTATTGAATATTACAAATAAATCTAAGTAGAAGTGGATCAGAACTACAAGGTTATCCTAAAATTTTATGAAAAGTGGAATTAGTTACTGAATATGATTAAGTAGTATAATTAATACATCAGATTTATTGGATAGTGAGAAATGATGATAAAATGAAAAGAAGCATTAACATTTATAATTTTTTTTAAAAAAATTTCCAAACTAACTTATGAAAATGGTATTGACTATTATAATGTTGACTTTCATGTATAATTTCTGTTATTTTTTTTATTAGATACGCTCTCTAGCTAACTATTGTCTGGACTTAAGATTTCATCGTCCACGAGTTGAACAAATAAAAGCAGCTGTATTGTCTATTGCTTGTAAAGAAAATGTGAATTTACCTGCGGATATATTGACAAATATCATTGCATCTAGTAATCAGGATATTAGACAGGTAAATATATTGCATTGCGGGGTTGTTGTGAAGATTGTTAAGTTTTATTTGTAACCATGAATCGATCAATGTTAGCCCACCATTAGAAATCTGGAAGCACTGGACGGCCGTTTCGTCCTGGGTCCTGGGTTCGAATCCTGTGGGGTGCAAGAGTCGTGGATGCGCACTGCTGACGAGTCCCATACCAGGACGAAACGGGCGTCCAGTGCTTCCAGGTTTCTAATGGTGGTCTAACATTGATCGATTCATGGTTACAAATAAAAGGTAAATATATGTATTGATAGAAATGTTTATACTTATGATGGTGGTGTTTGGTTCTGTGAGCTGGGTATTTTGGTTGTGGAGCTTTCATTGTTCTTCTGTTGAACAACATCATCAACACAAACTTCAGATAGAAGTGAAGCATTCGAATTTCTCCATGTTTGACCTGTAGCTTGTTCTGCTAACCTCTATCTTGATTGGTTGCTGTTGTGTACTGAGACCGAGGTTAGCAGAACAAGCTACAGGTCAAACATGGAGAAATTCGAATGCTTCACTTCTATCTGAAGTTTGTGTTGATGATGTTGTTCAACAGAAGAACAATGAAAGCTCCACAACCAAAACACTCAGCTCAGAGAACCAAACACCACCACCACCACGATCATCCACCTGAGCTACAATTCTTCTCCACCATGTTTATACGTAAGCTGTTTTTGTATTTTCTCATTGTTTCGAAATCCTTTTTATTACGTCTGTTTTTTTAATTGTTGTTAGGATGATTATCTTAATTGTTATGTAATGAACTTAAACTATTTTTATATGATTTTCTGGCAATAAAAAAAATCAATATTGAAATGGAAATTGAGTGGTGTATTGGTTAGAGCATTTTGACTACCAACCACTGGTTCATAGTTTATCAACCCCTCACACTTAAAAATACAATTCTTCAAAGCCAACTACTTGAATTTGTGTTTTGTAAATGTGTGTTTAATTGATTGTCATTAACCGGTGAACAAGGGATAATTTAAATGAGTCTTAAAAACTGTACAACTTGTTGTCTATGAACAGATATGTATGTAGTTGTAAGTTTTCTGTAGACACAAGGATTCCTCCTTTGTGAGGAAGAAAAAAATTATCACATATGCATTTAAAATTTGGTATTAGATTTACTTCGATAATGGTCGTATTCACATGAATAACACATTTGGAATCTGTTGTGGTCAATACATTGTCTTGGCTTTTCGGAAATCTAGATCAATAATCTATGTAGTTCCGTAATAAATCATAATTCGTTCAAATTCAGTTTATATCGGTTAGAGACCTTGAATGACATGGCTCAAAATCGTTCGCAATGGCGCCGGTGCATTTATTCTCTGTGTTCTCTCAAATCCTAATCTTCTGGACTCATCAACCCCTCTAGTTTCGACTCTCTAAACTTATCTCACTGAATCATACTTCTTGAATAGTATCTTCTAATCCTAACCTCTCCGATTATTTCTAATTCCCTTACTACCTCTTCTACTATTGGATTTGAATTGACGATTACTTCTCTGTGCTGATGTGGTATGGCAACATGAACTGATGTACTTATGTACAAAGTTCTACGTTGCATCTGACTGACTGAGTTTATATCCAAGATGACAAAACAACAATGTTGACAACATGCTGATCAAAAAACAGTCAAGTTTAAAGAGAATATCACAAGTTAGAGACTGTCTGTTCAAATAAAATATGTTTTCATTAATAACAACTACAGAATAGTCATTCTGTTAGCAATTAATAAAACTAATGAGATACATGAATCTATTCTAATTACTTATAAGTAATATAGTTATCAAAAACAAAAATTTCATTACGGGATTTGTAAACATATTCAGCTTCTTGACTTACATTGAGTTTCATCAGACAGATAAGAACCATCTGAAAAATAAAGCTCGTCGTTTAATAGAGTACTACTATTATGCAGATTTTTAATGTATGACAGTTGTCATTTTTTTTTTAAAGACCATAGTGGTGTTTCATTAGTGTTGTGTTTTTAATATCCTTCCTTACTGTCCATTCAGTCAGTCAGTGAGTAACAACGTAGAACTTCATACGTACGTACATAAGTTCATGTTGCAATAGCACAATAGCACAGAGATGCTACTGTCAGTTCAAATCTCATAGTGGTAGAGATAGTAGAAGTCTTACTGGTAATGGACAAGATTAAGGTTCGAAGATATTATTCAAAAAGTATAATTCAGTGCTATAAATTTAGAAACAGAAAGGTAGAGGTGTTGACGAATCCAGAAGATTACGATATGGGAGAAGACAAAGAGTGGATTCACGTGCGCCATTGTAAACGATTTTGAGCCATGTCACTCAGGGTCTCTAACCATCGGTTACTATCATCTCGCGGACCCCAACCAGATAGCCTACATCTACCAACATGACTCAGTCCACTTGTCAGTGATTGGTGTCATGTTTTTGTCTGGCTGCCCCTAGTTTTCTCCCGAAATACTCCTACATCACAAAACATCGCTCGTCGGGGCAGTCCCTGGTTGGACATACACAACACATGTCCTAACCATCTCAACTGATAAGTTTCAATACTCCATCTATTGATCTGCCATCCTTTCCTAGCATTCTTTTCCTAACGACAGCATTGCTTACTCATTTGTCTCAGGATACACGCGCAATGCGATTACACTTATGGCGTAAATGGTTGATAAGTTAAGAAATGTTCAGAAATTACGAACTGCTGTTGACTCTTAGCTCTCCTCTCCACAGCTTTACATGATTGCTATGAATTCTGAGCTAACTTTCCTCACTCTTGACAGTGCTATCGTATTTAGGGAAGTTTAACTAGTGCGATGACATAATCATATTTATTTCGACGTATTTAAACATATTCACTACAACATTTTACATCAAGTTAAATATGCAAACTTATCTATTTTACAAGGTATACTTTTAAATGGCTTGACAAATGATATAATACCTATCAATATATCCAAGCTATTCACTTTGTAAGATTATATAATATTCAGTAGATGAAAGTAGATATGTTGAGTCTGCCTAGCTGGGTTTGGTCATTTTCCCTCTCAATTAGCTACATATTACTACTAATTGATTTTTACTTGAAACTTCATTTCAAGCTGTAACGTTCACAATATTCGTGTTTGCCTATTGTGCTGAACTATTCAGACATGTTCATACCACATACTCAGTAATAACTTCAGAAGTCTGAAGAAGATAGTTTAGTGGAAATCACACTTCAATGTAAAGTATTCACACCCATTTAATCAATAGAAAAAAAATACTTGTGAAAATGAGATGCCTTTTTACTTATTGAACGTTGAAAATGTAGCTGGAAACACCAGCTTTTTATTATTATGATGATTTTGTTTTAAAAACTATTATTGTTACGAGTAGCTTACATGTTGGTAGATGTACGCTACCTTGTTGGGGTCCACGATACGACAGTCACCAATGGTAAGAGACCTTGAACGACATGGCTCAGAATCGTTTGCACAGGAGCGCAGATGCATCCACTCTTTGTGTTCTATGAATTCTGCATCCATCATAATCTCTTTCTCCTTCTAAATTTATCTTACTGAATTATACTTATCGAATCATATCTTCGCTCCCTAATCTTTTCCATTACTGCTAATCCTTCTACTATTGCTATCACTGTTGGATTTGAACTAACAGTTATGTCTCTGTGCTGATGTGGTGTATGGCAACCTGAACTGATGTGTACTTACTTACGAAGTTCTGCGTTGTAACTGTCTGTCTGTCTGTCTGTCTGTTTTATTGTTAAATGTAACTTGTTTTTAAATAAATAAAAACTATGTTTACTTCATTATTTTAGGTAATTAATAATGTACAAATGTGGTGTAGTTCCGGTTTAATTGATACAGAAGGATTAAAAATGGATGCATTAGGTGCACGTAAAGATTTACACTTAAATGCATTCGATGTAATACGTAAAGTTTTTGCACCGGATATATCTGGCAGTCAAGGCAGTGTTGCTACATTCAATGAAAGTTTAGATTTATTCTTTCAAGATTACAGTTTAATTCCTTTATTTGTTGAAGAAAATTATCTCAATGTTAGAGTTCATAATGTTCAGTAAGTATTATTATTATTATTATTATTATTATCATGAATACTTATTGGTATACTATATACATATATGACTCAAACAATATTGTGTATACATTGACGATTGCATAACTGTTGGGGATGTTTGATCCCCAAAACAACTCGCTTGATAAATGTCTTAATTTTGGATTCCACGTTTGCGAGCATTGGCTGATCAGTTGACCTTGAGATTTCATTTCCCACCAGGAAAGTCCATGGCTGTGATTGGCTACTGTGTATTTTAGTGTGCTATTTGCGTAACTGTCCCAATGACGTTTCTATGTAGCATAAATAAACGAGAGTTGTATGCTTGATTGTACTGTGTGATTACTGGGTGTTTGTAGAATATACTTCCTACGCTTACAATGACTTCTGTTACAGCTTTGGATTGAAGGTAGTCAATCTGGACGCTGGTAATTGTCTCGTTCACGTTTATCGACTAAGGTGAATTCGTAATAGCTTCAAGCATACCTAATGACGAACATAACAATAAAAGATACTACTAATAACTAAATCTTATAAAAAATAGATTTTAGAGTGTGAATGAATCGTCAGCTGATCGACTATAACTACATGAAAATTACATTCAAACAATTGAGAGGATTTGCAGTTTAAATTTAATAGTTTTAGTAGTGTTTTGTTATTCATAAGTTAAATAGTTCCGGTTATTGTTTTAATCAACATTTTTAGCGCTTACTTTTTTTTCTTAAAAAGTTAACTTTTCACCTATTTAACATGAATTAAATCAGCTCATTCCGGTGATGATTTACCGTCTTTTCAGTTGATTTCCGACCACGTGATTGATTGACCTCTCCCATAGAGGTTATAAATTGAACATATGTCGATGTGTCTATATTGATTGCTATTTGATGTGAATGTCTTGCTTCCAGAAATCCCCTGTCCTTCTTCGAATTTTCCTTACTTAGATTTGTAACTTTTTTCCAAAATGGAATTCATGTCCATAGTCGTTAATGTACATGAATACCATTGTTACCTCATGTTGCCTTACTGTTAATCTATTTCCATGAAAGTGTGGGGACGCTCATCTTGCTTCATAAAATGTCTTTCTCAGTTTTGGAATTTATTTTGTAGATGATATTGCATCCGTCTTTCTGTATTGTATGCTTCAGTCTACATAATAAACTATTAAATTATAGCCTTGGTTCGTCGGCTGAAGTGATTCATGATCATTGTAATAGTTTCTCAGATATTTTTCCCAAATGATAGGTAATAAGTCTTGTTGCCGATACCCTAACAACTCTAACCCGTCAACGGTAGCATTAGGGAGAGAAGGCACGGATTGTGAGTAACATCTTTACTCCATGGTTAGCTTTTGTGCAGAAGAAAGAGGATATTTATAGAACTATACATAACCTTGGGCATCTGGAAATTTCTGGAACTGTACTGCACATAGTAACAATGAGGGTAAATATCCAGTCAAAACTGTAACAAGTGGTTCTACGTTTTCTAGATGTTCAACGCTAACTGAATAAAATGTTTTCCGATGTTTCTGGGCCTTTAGAAACTTTGATGAGATAGATTTTAGGACTCATCCAACAATTGGCTGATTTGTTTCTTGGTTTCCAGAGTTGGTATCCTGATAGTATATCGGTTGGTTATACAACTTTCGCTATAATTCATAGAATAGGCATTCTTATGGAAAGTAGACAAGTAATGAGTTTCTTCACTCTTTCGAGTAGTAAAAATGCTACAATGGTTTGGATTCGTCTGTTCACAACTGTTTGTGTTCGCTGTTGGGAGTCTTTTATATTTTCCAGGTTCTTGTGTTTATTCTGGTTCGCAAAACATCCCAAAAATGCAATTACTGATCAGTCATACGTTACAAATCAAAATTGTGTGACTACAATGTTTTGTCAAAGAGTCATACTTAAAACTGTTAGTTGCACATTGAAATCACCAATGAATCATTGTTAGACCACCATTAGAAACCTGGAAGCACCGGATGGCCGTCAAGTCCTGGTATGGGACTCATCAGCAGTGCACATCCACAACTCTTGCCCTTCGCAGGAATCGAACTCAAAACCTTCGGTCTTGCGCGAACACCTAACCTCTGAACCACTGAGCCGGTATCTAAAGGTGTTACTATTTAACTTGGATCAATTCATGGAGGTTAGGCGTTCGCGCACAAGACCAAAGGTCCTGAATCTTAATCCTGCGAGGTGCAGGGGTCGTGGATGCGCACTGCTGATGAGTCCTGTAAGTTATTTGTTTGTTAACAAATAGCATAAACGAAAACGAGAATAACAGTCATACAGCAGTCAATAATTCCTCATTCTAAACAATATACACATTATCTATCCTACTGAATATTGTAATACTTACTGGCTTTACTCAGTTATACGTTACAAATCAAAATTGTGTGACTACAATAGTGATCATTATTCTATAGAGTATATTCATTTCCCTTACCAATTTTTTAACAATATTTCTCTGATACTTCATTTTTTTGGTCTCATTTACCAACGTCAAGAGAAAATCTTTATTCACTGTGGTTCTGACCGAAATAATCGTCAAAAAAACATTATTTATAAAATTCAAGCAATTTATTGGATGCTTCTTTGTGTTAAATATTCACATTCTTGACTATTCGGAAAGATTAGGGTTATGCTCTCTGTTCTAAGCTATGTAAATGCACTTAATAGCGAAGAACTGCATAACTGGGTAGCTGTTATGGCGTCATATCAATTGTAATTTCAAATCTTATTGTCAGTCTTAGGTGCATATATGTGTAGACTTTGACAGTATGATATGTTCAGCTAACATCATTAGCTCTTACGTTTATAGCAATTTTTCAATAACTGGACTTGAATATAGTTGTATTGTTTGTGTATTTAGATTAATCGTATCAATCTGTTGATTTGTAATGTGTATAACTAATTGACTTTATTTTTAGGGATGATAAAAAAATTCTACAATTAATGTCTCAAGCAGCGGATGACATTGCCACAGCAGATATTATTTCATCTGTGATCAGATCATCACGTACAGGATCATGGTCTTTACTACCTGTTCAAGGTGTATTCAGTACCGTATCACCTGGTCGTACTCTTCGTGGATCGTTACCGGGCGGTCCAGGTGGTGTTTCATTTCCATCTTGGTTTGGTAAGAACAGTACACAAAATCGCATTAATCGAATCACTTCGGAATTAGCTTCACATTTACGGCTGGCAACTCATTGTGGTTCATCTAATCCATATGCATTATTAATGGATTATGCTACACCAGTTGCTGAATTGATCACTCGTCCATTGAAAGAAGGTAACGAGTTTTCCCTATTTAAAATGATCCATTTATCTGATTAGAAATCGGTTGAATAAGAAATGCGCATGACTCGTAAAGAAAAGGGCTTCCATTTTTATAAAATGAGATTTATACCTTACTTTACTTACTTACTTACGCCTGTTACCCTCAATCGAGAATAGGCCTCACACCAGTTTTCTCCAACGAACTCTTTCCTGGGCTTCCCTCTCCAGTTCTGTCCAATGTTTGTTCATTCTTCTCATGTCTTTCTCTATTTCTCGGATTAGTGTGTTCTTTGGCCTTCCTCTTTTCCTTTTACCTTGAGGGTTCCATGTGAGGGTTTGTCTTGTGACGCAGTTAGGTGCTTTTCGTAATGTGTGTCCTATCCACTTCCACCACTTCTTCCTGATTTCCTCCTCCACTGAAATCTGGTTTGTTCTCTCCCACAGTTCGTTGTTGCTGATGGTGTCTGGCCAACGAATACGAAGTATTTTGCGTAGGCAAATGCTAATAAACACTTGTATCTTCTGGATGATGGCTTTGGTAGTTCTGCAAGTTTCCGCTCCATACAGTAGAACTGTCTTGACATTTGTATTGAAAATTCTGATTTTGGTTTTGGTTGAAAGTTGTTTGGAGTTCCATATATTTTTCAACTGTAGAAATGTAGCCCTTGCTTACCCAATCCGCGCCCCCACATCTGCATCAGATCCGCCTTTCTCGTCGATGATGCTGCCCAGATATGTGAAGGTGTTAACGTCCTCCAAGGTATCTCCATCAAGCGTGATTCGGTTGGTGCATGTTGTGTTACATCGAAGAATTTTGCTTTTTCCTTTATGTATGTTGAGGCCTACTGCTGCTACACTGGTCGTCTTCTCTTGCATTTGTTGTTGAGTGTGCGATAGAAGAGCCAGGTCATCTGCGAGATTTATACCAGTGATAGCTTAATTTCTGTTTCTGGCATTGAAAAGCTGTATGTTTCTAAAAACTGAAAAAAAATCTAACACCGTTTAGTGAAATTTTAAAGCTTTAGTATTTATTGTAATCATTTGGCATTTATAGAGCGTTTTTTGTTCAACACAAATGTGTGCGGAAGTTGAAAAGTTGTATCAATTATATAGAAATTCAAAGCTTTTATCCATGTGTTCTATCTTCTAAACGACGGGCGATTAATTTACAAACGTAATGGTATTATTGTCTTTCATATGATTCGACACTCGATTTTGACTGAATCTCCGTTTTGAAAAGTAGAAAATCGAAAATATGTAATCATGAGTATGTTTCTTATCGTTCTCATTCATAACGCACATAATTCTGTCGGTTACAACATATTAGATCGTCATTTTATGCATCTCAATAGATATAAACTAAATGATGTAACGTATTGATAATTTTCTACTTATTATGGGTCATCAAAGCAAGCTTTAGAAATAATCAGGTTAGTTAATGAAGCGATCAGTCAGTGGTTACGCTATGCGGCTTTCAGCTACTAAATTTCAGAATCGGACCCCTCTTTATCTTCGGTTGTCTGCGTAACTAGCTCTCATACTTCGAATGTGGCTGTAATCCAAGTATACGAATTTGTACACTTGCTGAATCACCTAATGACAATAATAGTAGCAAGACCGAAGGTCCTGGCTTCGAATCCTGCGAGGTGCAGGAGTCTTGGATTCTCACTGCTGATGAGTCCCATACAAGGATGAAACGGCCGTCCAGTACTTCCAGGTTTCTATTGGTGGTCTAACATTGATCGATTCATGACTTGAAATGTGTAACTTAACAATCTTCACAACCCTGTAATACAATAATAGTAATGATAACTAATTGAAAATTTAAATACGTGAAAACGTAACTAGGAAAGTTATTTGATTCATGAGGTATGTAGGTATGAGCTTTATCGTTAGTGGAAAGGGCTAGTTAGGCTACCCGGTCACGCAAACTGAAATAAACGGATTGGGGTTCGAATCTGCCAATTTTTGGTTAAAAATCGAGTGCCTAAACCTCTAAAATACTGCATTGTAAGGAATAATTGTTTTATTCCATTTCTTTTCGAACTTACGTTACCTGACTAATGTCACCTCTTTTTTTACTCTTAAAATGTATCTCATCTTTGCGTCTAAATTTTATCTTTTGTAAAATTTGTCAAAATTGTTTCATACAATTTCCACATTTATACGATTTTGTCTGTTTATTTTATTTTATCAATAAAATAAAACAATTGTTTGCTTATTGGAAGAAAGTTAGGAGCGGCCAAACTAAAACATGGCAGAAATCCATGAAGTCACCGACAAGCGGACTGAGTAATGTTGGTAGATGTAGGCTATCTGGTTGGGGTCCGCGAGATGTAAGTCACCAATGGTTAGAGAGCTTGAATGACATGGCTGAGAATCGTTTGCAATGGCGCAGGTGCATCCACTCGTTGTGTTCTCTCAAATTCTAACCTTTTGAATTCTTCATAATCTCTACCTTTCTCCTTCTAAATTTATCTTACTGAATTATACTTCTCGAATCATATCTTCGCTCCCTAATCTTCTCCATTACTGCTAATAATTCTACTATCACTATCACTGTTGGATTTGAACTGACAGTTACGTCTCTGTGCTGATGTGATATGGCAACCTGAACTGATGTGTACTTATGTACGAAGTTCTGCGTTGTATCTGTCTGTCTGTCTGTCTATTTTCAATAATTATTTGTTTAACTATTTTTTTTGTTTTGTTCATTCTAGGTGATATTGACAGTACAATTCAATTTTTAATTAATTATCAAATCACTAGAGAAGATGTTGATGCGATAATGGAATTAACCACTTGGCCAAATCGACCAAATCGAATGGTTAATGTTGATTCGAAAGTAAGTGAGATGTACATATTGATCATCGTTCTATTTTCATGTTGTTCCTCTTTTCTAAATAAATTTTAACAATCATATAAAATAAAAGTTATAGTGTAGTGAACGAGAACACCGATGAGGGCAACCGAATTGTATTTGAGGAAAATTACAGAGTTACTCAGTAAAGTCGAAAAACCATATCGTAAATCCTTAATTTTCAAAATATCACTTCATCATATCGAACTGGACTGTTCGTGTTGCAAACAACATCAATCCGTTGTCACTATTCATGCGTTTCATACAAATTCCATTGTGTTCCCAATCTTCTTCCTTTCTCTTGATCTTCCCCCCATCTTCTGCTGCCAGACATTTCGTTGACACTCACGTCATATACTACTTATAAGTAGCTCGCACCACAATAGTACGTATTTAGGTGAATAATGTATTTAGTTTTTTTAGTTTGATGTTTTACTATAATTCATAAATACGTTTTAGAAAAATTTTACACTAAACAAAACAATTTTTTTATGAATTATGAATACTAATAAGTTGGAATTATGCATGAGTTATCTTAAGAATGCATGTATTAACATTACGGATAGTGATCTTAAGGTAACAGGTGTATATTTTCATTTGTAACCATGAATCGACCAATGTTAGACCACCATTATAAACCTGGAAGCACTGGATGGCCGTTTCGTCCTGGTATGGGACTCATCAGCAGTGCGCACCCACGACTCCTGCACCCCGCAGTGTTCGAATCCAGGACCTTCGGTATTGTGCGCGAACGCCCTAACCGTTAGACCACTGAGCCGGTATCTAACGGTGTTAATGTCTAACTTGATCAAATTCACGGAGTTGCTCAACCTCATACCCTGTATACATCCGAACAGGATTGAACTTCACTGGTCACGACTTCCCACTAGAACTCGGAGAAGGTTCCTCACCAAGCTAGTCACTAGTGGACACTTGTAATTGTTGTGAAGATTGGTAAGTTTTATTTGTAACCATGAATCGATCAATGTTAGACCACCATTATAAACCTGGAAGCACTGGACGGCTGTTTCGTCAAAATATAAGGATAATTAACAGTAGAAATAAATATATATTAATGTAGGAAATAGGCTAAAGCTTCGAAAAGATGAATGAACTCAATAAAATAAGAGTCATTAAAAATCGCATATATATGTGTGAAATATCAGTTTTAATAATATATGAGTAGTATAGATGAGATACTATAGAAATAAAAAAGATAAACATACCTTCTTGCTTACTTACGTCTGTTAACCGTGATGGAGCTATGGGTCGCCGACCGGCGTTCTCTAATGAACTTTATCCTAGGCCTTTCTTTCCGGTTCCATCCAGTTGTTATTCCTTCTTTTTATGTCTATCTGCATTTATCGGCTCAGTGTTTTCTTTGGTCTACCTCTTTTCCTTCGACCTTGAGGGTTCCAATTTAGAACTTTCCAGTTGGGTGATTTCCACAATGTATGCCTGATTCACCTTCGGTGCTTTTTCCTAACTTCTTCCTCAGCTAGAATCTAGTTTTATTCTCTCCCACAGTAGGTTGTCGCTGATAGTGTCTAGCCTATGGATCGTAAGTATCTTGCGTAAACATAGTATGAGAAGAATTACTAAGATTATTCCTTCTGGCTGAGAAAAAGATGGAGTTTAAAGTTGTTAAGATGGTCTATTCTAATATCTGGGGTACCTGTTTCTTAACGTATTATAAATATAAGCCTTAAGTATATAAAATACCTTCAGTCGTTTATTCTGTCTATAGGTTCAGTGAGTAAATTGTCAATTCGATTATAATAATTTAATCAAGGTTGGTCTGTTTGATAAGTGTAACCGTTATAAATAGGTTGAAATTTTTTCAGAGCAATATAAGATTTTTCAAAATTCAGTCATGAACGCAACGCGATCATCCAAACTATTTCAAATTAAATTAAAATTTGTTTACGTTGCATAAGCTATTGGCTATATAACACAATAAGCTGAACAGATAATATATCGGATCTTTGAAGTGAAAGATTCGAGATTCAAGTCTTAGTGTGAACATCAGCACTAGGGTGTAAGTGTGTACAGTGGACGAGATCTAAGTAAGATGAATCACATGTCGGGGATTTGACTGCTTACCATGATCTATTTGTTCAATGAAAACGTAATCATACATTTATGTGTTAGAACATCTATACGTGTAAATCGAAGAGTCGACTGAAACTAATTATACACATCGAAATCATCAATCAATCATTGTTAGACCAACATTAGAAATCTGGAAGCACTGAACGGCCGTTTCGTCCTGTCATAGGACGACTCATCGGCAGTGCGCACCCACGACTCCTGCACGTCGCATGATTCGAACCCAGGACCTTCAATCCTGAGCTTTAAAAAAAAAATTTCTTCACCATCTCAAATTGGTTGCATCATTAAGGTTTCGATAAAGCTATGTGTATCTCTCCTTATTCACACTTGTAGAACACTATAACGGTTGGCTTTATATCAACCGT